ACGTTAGGAAGGGCGCTAAAGTCCTTCAGCAAAGAAGCAGAGAAGTAGCCAGTCGGCAGGACTTGGGGATAGGGAGGGGTGTGGCTGGGGTGGGGCGTGTGTGTGCGGGTGGGCTGCCCAGGAACATGGGCTACCCAGGGACATGGGCTACCCAGGGACATGGGCTCAGCACGGACACGGGCTCAGCAGGGACACGGGCTCTGCAGGGACACGGCTCCCCAGGGACACGGGCTCAGCAGGGACATTGGCTCCACATGGACACGGGCTCAGCAGGGACACAGGCTCAGCAGGGATTAGGCTCAGCAGGGACACAGCACAGATGTGGGCTCCTCAGGGACACGGGCTCCTCAGGGACACGGGCTCAGCAGGGACACGGCTCCCCAGGGACACGGGCTCAGCAGGGACATGTGCTCCCCAGGGATTTTGGCTCCACATGGACACAGGCTCAGCAGGGACACAGGCTCAGCAGGGATTAGGCTCAGCAGGGACACAGCTCAGCACAGATGTGGGCTCCTCAGGGACACGGGCTCAGCAGGGACACGGCTCCCCAGGGACACAGGCTCAGCAGGGACACGGGCTCAGCAGGGATGCGTGCGCTCTTCACCGCCGCAGTCATGGGCGTTAAAAGCCCACGTGCTTGGACCATTGAAGACCCATATGCTTCTTACACTTGCGTGTGTTTTCCACATGTTTTTACAGTAATCAAGTTGTTTATGACTGATGATCGCGGAAAAAGTTACTTAAACAGCTTGAGTCAGCTGCCCCCCTCGAAGCCCCAGAAGGGAGAGAAAAGGCCCTAGTCCGTTTCCTCTGGGCCCGAGGCCAGGGACAGGCCTGTCACTTGGCAGGCGGGGCGCCGTGTCGTCGGTCCGCGGGAACTTGGCCTCCGTGGACGGCTCGGCCGCCTGCCCGCCGCTAATGAAAAATTCTCGTTGTAGGTGAATTTGACAGACAAGAGGAGGACATTCACCTAGTGACATTGTGTGTGACAGGTGAGCTCTGGCGTCCGTCCCCGAAGCAGGTGCCCTCACCCCTAAAGCAGGACCTCGCGTGAGGACCTCGGTGGCAGGAGATGAAGGCCAGGGCTGCCGACACATGTCCCCCTTGTGCCTGCCCCTCCCTCACGCCCAGAGCCCCAGCTGCTGGGGATTTTCAGAGGCCTCCTCGGCTCCTGGGAAGGAGGGAGGATGTGCCCCCCCCCCAAGCGTGGTGGCCGCCGCGCTCTGCTGACTATAAACCCGGCTGCTCTGGCACTTGGCAGGGACGCAGGGTCATAGTCCTTTACGTGTTCTGATTTTTCCCCCTTTTGCAGTGTGGGCTCCTTCTTGGCTTTAGTTATAGAACATGAAAGCAACTGTGGAACGTGTTTTAGAAATTAGTTCCTAAAAATAACTTTTTCTTTTTTTTGGTCAGAATTAAATGACCGGGAAGAAAACGAAAACCACTTTCCGATAATTTATGGCATTGGTAAGTAGCATGTTTCTTTGAGGGTCGGAGGCCAGTCCCATGCTCACAGGGCAGGCTCGGGTTCCAGGCTGACCGGACCTAGTTGTGAACCCCCTTGTGGTCACTGTCTCCTCCTGGCTCCTCTGCGTGCCCCCCCGCCCCGGGGGCCCCAGGAAGCAGCCCCGCTTCTCTGACCTCTGTCTACAAAACAGAGGATGCCCACACCCTAAGACGGCGGCGAGTAGTGGACATGAGGCAGAGCCAGCGGTGCTGGGTGACAGGGCTGCCCATGGTCGGCGCTCTCCTCCAGCCTGCTCTGGCGGGAGCGGCCTGTGTGTCTCCCCACACGTCAGCTGCCCAGTAAGGTTTGGTTGAGAACAAAGCTCCTCCTAAAGGAAAGCATAAAGCTCTTCCAGCTCAAGAAAACCCAGAACCCTCTCCCGCGAGGCGTCCAGAGGTTCAGAGTTGGGGGGACACTAGCTGTGCGTGCAGAGGACTGCTGCCCCGTCGCAGCTTACTGGCCGGGTGCGCAGGTGATCATGATTTCAGCCCCTAGAACTTTTGTTATTTCAGACATACGCAAAGGCACCAGCCTTGGCCACAATCCCAGGCCACCCTTCGGCCTGAGCCGTCCAGAGCTCCTCTCCGTCACAGGGCTGAGCAGGGAGGCGTGCCACAGGAGGCCTGGAGGGGTGGCGGGCGGGCTGCTCGGGGGCGCAGAGGGGCCGCCCCGCATTTGCAGCGGCCTGACGGGGTCTGGTGCGGGCCCCAGCTGTGTGCACGAAGGGCTTGGCTCCAGAGCCGCGGCTGCCCTTCCTCCACCGGGGGGAGCTAGACACCTCACGGTGGAACCCGAACCAGATGACTCTCCTCCTTGTCCCTCTGTCTCTCTCGGGGGGAGACTCACCAAGTTCCGTTGCACGTGGTGGTAGAGGTGTAAGACAGTGCAAACTTGCCATTCATGTCTTTAGTCCAAGAAAACACTGTATGCCCTCCACAGCGGTCAACATCAAGACTGCGGAGATTTACAGAGCGTCCTTCCCAGATCGGGGCCCAGAGGAGGAGCTGCGTGCCGCCCGAGCTTTAACAGGAGGACCAGTGAGTCATCTTTGTGTTGAGGGTTGAAGGGGAACAGAAGGGCATCACGCTCCAAAGCCTCCAGTTTTATAGATCTTAGAAAGGAACAGCGCGTCTCCTTAAAGCACTCAAGTGGTCAGGGATCACCTGGCACACACAGGAAGGATTTTTAAGTTATAAGCTCACGTCCCCAGTTCTAGGCCTTGAGGGCGCAGAAGGAGGTAATGTGTGTCCCCACCATCCAATCCGAGGACAAGGAGCCCCCTTTACTTTGTGCACCTTTAACTAGAAGTTTCCCACGAGGAAAGGCGAGCTGGGCCGAGGAAAGGCGAGCTGGGCCGGGGGAAGGCGAGGCCTCTCCGCGCCAACCTGGCAGCACACGCTCTCCCCCAAGTCCTGGGACAGCAAGCCGCTGGAGCAAAGGGAGGTCTCCCAGAGCAGGCTCAGATCAGTTTTTAAAAGTCCAATTGCCCAGGATGCTTTTTAATACTAAGACCTTAATTTTGAAAGAAAAATAAAAACCTGAGAGTCACAGGCCAGTGAATGATGCTTAAGGGGTCCTGTCACTCACTCTCCAGTAAGCGAGACTAGGAAGCGCCCCCGCAGGCCCCCCGAAGAGCGCTCACTGAGGAAATGTGGACGTTTTCCTTGGAAAATGTAAGAGTGCTAGTGCCCTTCACCAGCGGCACCGCAGCCTTGCCCCAGCTGGTTCAGAGCCTCGTTTGGCCCCGGGAACCAACCCCGCACACTGCTGGTGAGGAACCGCCAGCGGCGGACCTGCTTCCAGGAGTGCGTTGCTCGGCACATGGGCGTGTCTACAAGTGGTTTTTGCTTCCTCTCGATTGGCGCAGGCTGCAGGGTTGCTTGGGGCACAGATGACGAGGCAGGGTTTTCTGGAGCAGCGAGCTGTCCCTCTGAGCCTCAGGTTTTCACCCAAAGGGGAAGAATGCTGTCTTCCGAGTGGACTGTTGTCAGGACTGAAATACCGCACGTTACGCAGTGCGGTAGTGGCTTTAGTTACTAGGAGACGTTTTCGAGCAGCTTTATTATCAGACTACACTGGGGCTGGCATTGCCGGTGGGGTTTGAGCGGCTGAGAACATGCCTTACCTTCTGCCCTTGAAATGTTCTTTTAGATGATTAGTATTTACGATGCAGAGACAGAACAGCTTCGTATAGGACCGTATTCCTGGATGCCATTTCCACACGTGGATTTCTGGCTGCAGCAAGATGATCAGCAAATACTAGAGGTGAGAATGGACAGGTTGGGTATATCTTGTATCTTTGAACCCTGGTTTCTTCACTTGTAAGAGACAAAATGTTTAGAGTGGAGCCGCTTTGCTTTTAGTGGGTAGTAATTTTTAGGATGCCATCCGCAGACCCTAAGTTCTGGATCAGCCGAGAAGTCAGGTCCCAGCCAGGCATTCGCCTGGGTCGAAGGAATATGCAGACAACTGCTTTTTTCTCATTAGTGCAGGACCCCTTATGTCTTAGATAATTCTATAAGTTATATATACTGTGTGATCTGAGAACATCCAGATCCATGTTTAAGAACACGGAGATACTTCGACAGCTCTGTCAGGGAAGGTAACAGCCAGGTTGTTCCTCTCATGCCCAGAATCTTGTCTTTCCAGAATCTTTCCACTTCACCTCTGGCTGAGCCACCCCACTTTGTGCAACATATTAGATCTACCTTGATGTTTTTAAAAAAACACCCATCTCCAACCAGTGCACTGTTTCCTGGAAACAAAGCTCTGCTCTACAAGAAGAATGAAGGTGGCTTATGGGAAAAGATCTCTTGTCCAGGAAGCTGAACACAGGATCACCAAAGAAAGCAACTTGTTGGCCTGACAAAGACCACAGTGGGGGCTGCAAAGAATGTGCATCAGAATCTACATCCGCTGAGTCTTAGGTCTCCTTCCTTCCTGTCCTTCAAATGACTTTCAAAATAAAATCTTATTTTGGCAAAGGCATTTGTTTAGGCTTACTTTCTGCTTCGCTGAAGCTGACATCCAGCCTTTGCTCTTTGGTACTAAGGGCACTGGAGGAGCCGCCCACCTCGTGATTCTACAAGCAGCCATTTCAGATACAATGGTAAGTATTTCTAATTCTGCTAAGTTAGAGAAAAAAGGGAAAAAATGATGTTCTTTAAACACAATAAACTGCACTAAAATTCTGTGAAGATTTACACATCTCACAGAGGGGTTTTTTGGTTCCAAAATGTTGTAGAAGCATCAATTCCAAAACTGATATTAGACTTCTAGATGAATGAAAGGTTCAGAGGGAAAAACAGAATAATCTCCTAGGAAACTACATTTAATGTGAGAATTACACAAAGCCACTAAGAAACCTGTTCTTTTTAGGTGTAAAGTCATTAAAATGCCCCAATTGTGATACATACAAGTTATACTTGTAGAGACCTTTATTTTTTTGGTTGCTATGCCTGATTATTTACCATGTACAAACTGAACTCACTGGTAACAATTTCAAGAACCTTTATTGAAACCAACATTCAAATAGTGTTTTAAGGGTGAAAGTCTGTTTCAGCAAAACCAATTTAACAATTCAAATATATATAAAAACATTTAAAAATTAATCTTGTTAAAGGTGATAATTTCCCCTTTCCCCATTTTATCTGCTATACTTCATTGCACCAAATAAACAGGGAAGACTTGAATCATCTGCACCCAAAAAAAAAATTACATTTCGACAACTGCCAAATGTCAGAAATCACATCCAATCAGAGTCTAATTATAGGCTTAATATGGTGTAACTAAGGCTTCCAACACAACAGTCCACAAACCCAGTGTGAATCCCCACCATCCTGAGGGGTCCCGTAGCTTGACTTTGCTGGGCTAAAGGCACAGGGGCCGTTACCTAGGACAAATGAGATGCAGTACTGCTGGAGAAGTAGAAACGGGCAGAATTAAGGGCTTACTTCCAGTTATTTCTGCAGTGGTCTGGCTTGAGCAGCCTGAGTGAGATTAGTTTTCTGGTTCTGGTTTCTGAGTTGGGCCCAAAGGGGTGAGAAGCTCCCATGTGAAACGGGTCGGAGATATACTTATCTTAGAATCGAAACTTAACTGGGTGCTACACAGCATAGTTAATGTTAGGCTAAGAGTAGCATCTCTATCGGATTTTCAGATATTAAACATAGAAATGAGCACAATCTGTACCCGTGTGCCAATTTAAAAGCTTTACCAATATTTAAAAATATACATATATATGGTCAAGAGTTTTACAGTTACTCAATAGATAGTCCTTTAGTTTGTTTACAAATAGTACATAAAGGGAGAAATGGATTTGTGGCCGAGGGGACGTCACAGCCAGAAGCGCTGCCCGGTTCATGGGCCCTCACTCCGCGTCCCGGGAGAGAGCGGCGGGGCTGGCCGGTGCGGCGCCGGCTCTCTCCTTCACAATCCCATTGAATCCTTTCTCCTTCAAGCCAAATCCAAGCCCGCTGTACACTGCAACCTGACCGGACCGAACACCATGAAAACTGAGGGCAAAGACTGCTCTCACCCCTGGGCAGCAGAACAGCGGAGAGCCCAGAGAGTTCTAAAGACAACGGTCTTAATGAAAAGTTACATGGAACCTCGTATGTGGTCTTACACTGATGTTTAGAAAGGTCAGTGGAAGTGTTTCAAGTGGCGGGCACTTGAAATTCCAGGTGTTCTTCGTGAACCCAAGTGTTTATGGTGACCTGGGGGCGGGGAACGGTGTGAACTACAGCTGGGTAGACAGACGTAGGAGTTGTTCTACATACCCACGGAAGGAGACAAGTCAGTTGCCCTTCTAAAAAGCCTGGCCTTCAGGCATGTATTTGTGCAAAAGTCCCAGGTAAGCACAAACACCAGGAACCTCTCTTGCATTCGTGTGTGGCACGGCTCACATTCTCAGTCTAATGTCCTCTCCCCTGAAACAATACTCGGTATGGTCTCAAAGCAAAACACTGAATTTTATCTCAAGCTCTCTGCATCTTCTACCTGTGGACGGTCATCTTCTGGGTGCTGCACCCTGCTCTGGGGGGCTTCCAGTGGCTCAGCTTCCTGCGGGCTGGGAGCCCCGGGAGGGGGCTCAGGGCTGGTGGTCTCCAGGGCATCTTGCTCTGGCCCGCTGGACAGATGCTCCATCTTCTCTAAGTCTTCCACGTGGCTGACCGAACTGGTCTCACTTAGAGCATCGGAGCCTCTTAGGGATCTCTTAAAAGGCTTCTGGCCTAGAGAAAGATCCACGGACACTGCTGAAAGCTCTCTGTGCGACAAGTGACTGCTTCATTTAACCATAAGTGCTTCCAGAAACCCCTGCGATCCCCAGCTCTGAAGCACTGAGGGGAAGTGAGGAACAAGAACTGGCTGGCAGGACATCAGCGCGGCTCCCGAGGCTGGGAACACCCAGACCATGATCGGGAAAAGCTCAGGCGAGTCAACACCAGGTCAAACAGATGCCAGCTCCCAAGACCCTAACTTCCCAACCCCGAGCTGCTACAGAGAGATTTCTCCAAGGCTAAAGCCCAAGGTGACTGACATGGTTAAAAGGACAGTTGGTTTTAAGAGAAACAGGACTTTGGATGCAGGTGACACCGAACAGGAAAAGCCTCCCAGGACGCAAAGGTCTGTGTTCCCAAGGGAACCACCAGATCTCTTCAGCGTCAAAGTCAAACATGAAGATGAAATGTACCTGGAAGTCTCTGCTTCGTGCGAGTGCCTGAGGGCGTCTGAGGCGGGGTGACTCCCGTGCCTTGCACCTTGTAGACATAGGTGTGTTCCGTGGACTCTAGGGAGCCTGCCGAGGAAAGAGGGGTGTGCAGGAGCCCCGGGCACAGGCCGCCCTGGGCTCACCCGAACTGGAAGAGCCTTCGGCCGTCCGGACACACGCTGGGGAAGGGACAAGGGCACCTTCCGGCAGTACTCACGAGGCCCAGCCGTGCCGGGGCATCCACCCATACCATCCCGGGGATCCTGCATCCATGTGAAAAGAGCCAACAGGGTGGCCCCAGCGTGCCTGGGGGCCCATGGCCAAGTGGGAAACGTCCTTGAGCAGCAAGGAACACAGGCCTCTGCGCTGAAGGCTGAGGCCTGGCGCATTACAAATCCACCAGAGTCCCAGGCTGCGGTCCCAGGCTAGGCAGCCGCAGCCGCTGCTTCTAGGGAGTGGCCCCGGGGGAGGGAGCTTCCTCCAGTAGAAGAGGAAGGAGGAGCCGAGAGCGGACACCATCCAGGGAAGGGGTCTGCTCCTGCTCTCGGCGCTCTCTCGTTTCCACGGGGCCATGTGAGCTCCCAGGCCCCCAGTCAGTGAGGCCCGGGGCGACGTCAGTCTGTCCTACCTGCTGTTAAGTTAAAAGTCCTTCCCTTCTGTGAAGCTTGTACTGGAGAAAACCAATTCAGTACGGACCCCACGACGGGGATCTGCCGCAACACCCCCTGCAAAACACAACCGTGGCTTGTGACCACACTGCCCGCCAGGGCTCCGGGGTGCCAGCTGGGACCTGCTGCGCTCAGCCTCACCTCTTCCAGAAGCCGCTCCTCATTTGCCTTCTGCAGTTGAACCTGAGCTTCCTGAATCCCTTTCCGAACCACCTCTGTCATGTTTTCCAGGAGCTGTGTTAGGGCCAAGAAAGACAGTATTTTGTCCAAGCTTTTGCTTTTCTTAAGATTTTATTTTTATTTATCTAAAGAGAGAACGTGTGCAAGAGAGGGGAGGAGCAGGAGAGGGAGGAAGGGAATCCCACGCCGACTTTGTGCTGAGTGCTGCGCCCGAGGCGGGGCTCGAACTCACGACGACCCTGAGATCGTGACCTAGGTCGAAATCAAGAGTCAGACACCCAACTGACTGTGCCACCCAGGGGCCCAGTCGCCTAAGCTTCTTGCCCGGGACCTAGGACTATTACCATAGCACTGGTGACATTTTTCAAAAGTATGTCAGTAAATAGAATTCCACACTTTTAAACATCAGGATCCGAACATAGGAAATCAAACAGAAGCGGCTAAGACACCTTGGGGCCCGGCCTCGTCTTCAGGGAAAGGAGGAGAGACTGCTCTCCCTGCGACCTGAATGTCTTCCCAACAGGTAATAGGTACATTGCTCAACGTTCTTGGAAATGGAATTGGAAGTGAGAGTGAGTCTGGAAGAACCTTCAGGAAGCCCACCCGAGAATGAACGAAGCTGGCTCCTCGGGCTCATGGCTAACTTCTCTCGCCCTCCCACCAGGACGGGGCTGTGCACACGCCTCGGTCTCCTCAGACCCGTCTGGCCTTGGTCCCTTTTCTCAGCTTCTGAGGGATTTCTAGTGACTCAAGTACCTGGTTTGCAGAACGACCCAGGAAAGCTTATGGCCTGGTCTCCACGCCAACGGGCAGAGGGAAGTTCTGCTGTCAGAAATACCTGCCTCACGCAGCCCCAGGACCAGCCATGCTCAGGAAGTCACCCCTCGCCCTGTCAGGCAGAGGCAACTGCGTCTTTCCAAACGCTCAGCCCCCCTTCTTTCTCCCCCATGGCACTGACTGCCTCACCGGCAACACGGGTCTCTGCCCACCCCATGCCCCGCCCCACACACGCCTGTGAGCCCACTGAGGGCAGGGCTCCTGGATTCCTGGCCCAAGGTTTAGCTCACAGGAAGCATTCACACACTTTTGGGGAGCAGATTCGTTCAGAGGGGAGCATCTTCCCTCAGAACCTCAGGTAGCTGCCCGGAGAAAACCCAGAAAGGAATGAGACACATATTACTCTTACACACCCGTGAGTTCTCCTCAATTTCTCGGGCCGTGACTGCAATGGTCTCCACTAGCTCAGAAATATCCACATCATCACTTGCCATGCCCACGTAAATACAGCTCTTCATGCTTTTATACTCCGGGCCTGTGGGAGGAAACCAGCGAGCGACTTGGTGGCCGAGTCCTCAGTCACGGGGCCACCCAGGACCCACTCTCCTATCCAACAGCACGACCACGCACAGTGGAGCCTCCCTCAGGGGGCAAGGAAAGCGTGCTAACTCGGGACGCCCACAGAGGCTGCAGGAGGGGAAGGGAGATAGCTCATTCTAGAAAGAACTAAACCTGCATTTCTTCCAAGGACACAGAGCCCACTGTCCTTGAACCAGTTAGAAAATGGCCTTCTGAAGTTCATAGTCGACTTAGAAAAGTAGTAGTTACCCATTTTAAATGTAAGGTCAGATTCCAGCTCATTTAACTTTTTCAGGAGTCCAGCATGGATTTTTTCCCCTTCTGGATCTAATTTCAAACTGCTCTTATCATCATTAGCATGTTCATACCTACAAACAATATCAAATGACAGTGTTTCAATGTAAAAGACTGACTGCCTCTTCAGACCCAGGCCTGCAGATGGAGTATAAGGTCCTGGCGGTTTCCCAGAATGTGAGACAAGTGGGCCAAGGAGCCACTCGGAGCATCTCAAGGTCAGACACTGTCAGGGACATGGCAAGGAAGGCCCAAGTCTCCAGTCCATGAAACTGGGAGAGGCCAGGTCTGGAAGCCTCAGCATTTGTAACAGAAGTAGGAAGTCTCCCCCTCTGCCCTGGAAGAAGATGGAAAACAGCCACAGGGATAATGGTGCACTGAACCACGGAGGGCAGAGGCCTGTGCTTGGCCGGCAAGCTGGTCCTCAGCCTTAGTGAGCCGTGACTCTCCGCACCCTGTGGTAGTAACCACCTGTCAGCCATGCACTTGAATGTGTCCCCCCGGACCCCCAGTCACAGAAAGTACAGTGATAGCTATTTCACTAAGAGCAAGGGTGCCCACACACCACTGCGCTGTGCTTTCTTCTAGGTGCCCAAAACATCTTGCGGAATTTCCATTAGAAACGCACACCAAGACTGTATGTATTCACCTTCCTCTTCCAAGCTGTTCTACGAAATGACCCAGCCGTGGTCTCTATATGGCAGAGTGGAATGAACCCCAGCCGGGAGGCCAAACCCGTACCTGACGACCCCTATTCCGGGCCAGTTAGGGTCATCGACGTGCAAGAGACCTGCTGCAGCCGTCACCTCCTGCTTGAACTCCTCCCGCAGCTGCAGCGTACAGGTCAGGATGGGCAGCTGGCTCTGGATGCAGGCTACAAGCTGATCCACATCCTCTCCCCGGGTGCCTAAAACTGAGCACATCCCCAGAGTGTTAGAGAAATATGTAAGGAGTGGTGAAAAGCAAGAGGGCAGGCTCCCCTTCCACTGTCAGGGAGGTCAGCAGCTCCAGAGACATCTGATTAGTGGGAGCTGAGGTTTAAAAAAATAAAAAAACCCATCCACTAAGCCCATATGAAGAAGTCAGGTATTAAAACTTGATACAGCCAGCTCCTGCAGGTGTAGACACAGTTCTCTCTTACACAGAAGACAGAATTAGCCCCCTGACATAACACACAATGAAACACTAACAGAGAAATCAGATTCTTCTCACAGGACTCTACTCAAGCTATACATGTTGCATGGCAGGCTAAAGACAATGAGGCAAACGCATGGCTCTCTGTCCACGTTAATGGCATGGGGAGAGTGTGAGGAGGGGGCAGGAGGGTGCGCTGATGACAGCCCCCCAGGGCTGCAGGGACCCAACATCACTACCTCATGCCGGTGAGTCAAATGTGGCAAAGGATTGCACTAAGCCTCAGTATGCGCTGCCCAGGGGTGTCCTCAGCTTGCTTTGCCAGGTTTACAGACTAAGCCTCTGGCCCGCTTAGCAGGTGCAGAAATTACTGGAAGATCGGGAGGCTACCAGTCATCTTCCTGATGGGCTTTCCTTTGCTGAACAAATGCCTGCATCAACCTATTCTGAGGTCTTTGAGTGAGTATATTTCCAAAAGTATTAAAAATATCTTGTGGGGGAAAAAAACCTCAAACATCTTCTGAAAATCTTTAAATCATCTCAGAAAAAAAGCATAATCAGTTTTGAAATACATCTTGTCAGCTGATTTCTCAGTCGCACCCTGCTGAGGCCAGCACTACATAGGGCCCTCCACATACGTGACCTCGCATTGCCCTGCACAGCAATGCATACAGATCTGCAGTTGCCTACAGGTGCCGCAGCTCGCTCTCGCTCCCACACGGCGCGCACCCAGGACGTGGTCGTAGAAGCCCATGGACTTGCAGCCCTGCTGCTTCCGAAAACATCTAAAATGGTGGCCCTCAACCTATGTGGGTTGGTTCAAACTGCCAGGGTAGCTTTAAACACTAAGGACACCCAGGCTCTGTGCCCTGGGGCCCTGCCACTGGGAGTTTCAAAGCTCCATGGGTGATTCTCACGTGCAGTGTGGACAGAGCACCATGGAAGAGAAAATGAAGGGTCACAAGACCCCAAAACATAGGGAGACTCAAGTGGCTTCAAAAGTCTGAGAAGTTACTCTGGAGAGCTCATCTACCTAAATGCAGCCCACAGGCAAAGACAGAGAGCACAGCATCCCAAGGAAAAGCAGATCAAGCTTTCAGGGACGTCACTGTCGCTCCCATGAGTGAGGGCAGTCCACGGGGGCCGGCCGTTACCTGCTGCTGTCATCAAAGGGCTGAAGCGAATGCACACACCCTCCACTTCCAGATCCATGACAGTGAGGCCGCTCGTAGGCACCAGCTGTTTGAGCTGCTCTCCCAGCTGCAGGGATAAGGGCGGAGTGAAGAGGTTCCCACGGGGGAGGGCCTCACGAGTCCTCCCACCTCCCCTCACCCCTCACCCACTCAGCCCCAGGCCCAGGAGGCTCCCGTGAACAAATGTCCCTGAGTCTCGATTCTCTTTGAATACTTATGGCCCCTTCTTTTTCAATGGACTAAGAGTTTTACACTTTTTGTTATTGAAAACCATAACTTCAGTGTAGAAAAATCTAGGAAATACAGTAAACCAAAAGAATAAAATAAAAATTACCCACAACACACTACTGAGAAGCGCCCACTGTTGACGTGTGATAGGCCCATCCTGGGTCTCTGTATTTTCTATTGCCATAAAACGCGATACCCTCCATGCTGGGTAGTGACCTGCAGCTTTTCACAGAATTTATGATGACCATTTCCTTTCTGCCATAAACATCCAGCTACAGGGTTTATCCTGGCTGTTTTGAATGTCATTGTATGAATGGATCATAACTCATTCACCAAAGCCCCTAACGGGAGCATGACCCATTCTATGCTAGGATGGATGCTGCTATAGTGGACACCCGGACACTGTTCAGAACATTCTTTACATGAAAATCCCAGAGGCACAATTTCAGTGTCAAAAGGCAGCCGAAGTGCAGTGTCTTGGGTCCATACTGACTTCCAGGTGCTTAGGGGGCTCTGGCTCCTGCACGTCTGACACTGTGACAGACGCTCACCAGAACTCCAAGGTGGCCACACTGCACTCCCTGTCTGGCAGGGCGTTTTGCAGCCATACTCAGCAGCCAGGAAATGGTCACCCAAGGGGATGACATTGGAAGGCCCTGCCGGAAGTTATGTAGCCTGTGGAGCGGCGATCTAAGAGCCCTGGAGGGAAGCCCAGCACCTTCACGGAGCGTCCCTCCCGAGGGTCTGATTTCCTAGACATGACCATGTATTACTCCATCTGGGACAAAGAAGAAAGAGCACACAACCGCCATTCTTACCCAGCGATTCAGGGCATCACAGGAGTGTCTCTCCCGGCCGACTGCTGACGGTGCCATACTGGGCACTGGGATGGCTTTAAGCACTGGATCTGATGACACCAAAACAAAGAAAGGGGATTCACCTTCTGGTAACACAAATCCATACGCACCCTTCAAACCTGATTTCATGAGCTCCCAACATTAACCCAAAAGAGAAGTCTTAAATATTACAGAAATAAAATCTGTAAATGGTAAACAAAATGTGGTATATACATACAGCGTAGTGTTACTCATCTTTAAAAAGGAAGGAATTTCTCTCACATGCTCAATATGGATGAACCTTCAGGACATTACACTAAGTGAAATAAGCCAGTTACAAAAAGACTCATGCTGTATGACTCCACTCACATGAGGTACCTAAGGAGTCAAACTCAGAGACACAAGGTAGATGGTAGTTGCCAGGGGCTGGGAGGGAGCAGGGGATGGGGAGTTGGTGTGTAACGAGTATGGAGTTTCAGTTTTGCAAGATGTAATGTTCTGGAGAGCTGCTGACAACAACGTGAATGTAATAACTGAACTAAACTATACATGTATGATGGTAAACTTTTTATTACAACTTAAAATTTTTGAAAATGTGTATCTTACAGAGGGGTTTTTAACCTTCCGTATTTTTTTTCCTCATGAAAAATATAACACCTGAATATAATCCCACAAATAGAATTCTTACTTTCATTTAAGAAGTCTTTTTTCAAGGAACTTTGAGAGGAAATGGAAGGATAACATTTTAAATTACCAGCTAGTCTATCAACCACCGTGCAACGTAAATCAGAGAACTCAAGAGCACCCAGAGTGGGCCTCACAACAGAATTCTCCTCCTTTTGTTCAAATGGTCTGGGTGCCTGCTTGTGCTGTGCTGGGCATGAGGAATATAAGGTGGACAAGGTTTCTGTTATCCTGCTGTTTATAGTCCATCAAAGAAACACCATAAAGGAAAGAAATGAAATCACCGTATACTGTTGTAGTGCCATGAAAGAAGACGGGGCCTGATATCCTATGATGGAGTTGCCTCAGGACAGATGGGGAAGGCCTCCCTGAGGACGGACATTATAGAGACCTGAAGGTTGACAGGGAGCCAGCCAGAAGGAGAACGAAGGGAAATATGCTCAAGGCAAAGGAACAGCAAGTGCAAAGATCTTGCTCTGGGACAGAGCAAAATGTTCTAGAAACTCGGAGGCCAGTCAGACTAAAACAAAGTGATCGGCCTAAAAGGAAGTCAGAGAAGATGGCAAAGGCTGCACCCCACAGGCCTTGTGAGCTACAGACCTTGGGCCTAATTCAACAGAAAGGCTCTGGGCAGCGACAGGGCACGAGGGCACGAGGGCACGACGAGACTCCATGTACATGCTTGGACTGCATGCAGAGAATGGTCCAGAATAGGGTGTGTGAAGTTCACGGAAGAATCAGTTCAGCAGGGACAGTGGCTGTCCAGGTGAGAAATAACCATGCTCTGGACTAGCTGGGTGGTGCTTGGGCCATCCTTTAAAAGTAGCCTCATGTTATTCCCAAACTCAACTGCCACGTCTTCAACGTATGTTTACGTTGTATTTTAAATTACTTTACTTTCTTTTAAAGATTTTATTTATTCATGAGACACACAGAAAGAGAGAGAGGCAGAGACACAGGCAGAGGGAGAAGCAGGCTCCATGCAGGGAGCCGGATGTGGGACTCGATCCCAGGTCTCCAGGATCACGCCCTGGGCTGAAGGTGGCGCTAAACCGCTGAGCCACCTGGGCTGCCTTTTTAAATTACTTTAAATATAAACTATGATAAGCATAGAAAAATAAAATAGAGATTTGGGGGCCCTATTTCACATACTTTGATTCACTCAAGTTGTATGTACATGTGTATCCAGATCTCTATTTTCAAGGGACTCTTACCCATTCATTCTAGCACTAGTCCAGGGACTGGCATATGGAAACTACTGGTTTGATCATAGGAAACTATCAGTAATATGCTATGGCATTTAGGTCTGGAGTTCTTAGGAAAATTATTATTATAACTTTTTTTTTTTTTTTAAGAGAGAGCAAGCATGTGCAAGAGCGAGGGTGGGGAGGGATAGAAGGAGAGGGAGAGAATCTTAAGCAGGCCCTACACCCAGGGCAGAGCCCAATGGAGGCTCGGTCTCATGACCAGAGATCATGACATGTGCTAAAATAAAAAACTGGATGCTTAACACACTGAGCACAATGAGGGTCTCTTAAAAAAATTAACATCTTCTGAAACAACGACTGAAGATTTTAGCAGTCAAAATATTTGGACTATCTATATAAGCTGAAATAAAACAGAAAGCTCTTAAACATAAATACAAAAATAACCCTTTTTAGAATCACCTACCTGAGCCTGGTAATTCCTGGAAAAACCTGAACACCACTACTGGAGAACTGAGCTCATCTTCCACCTGAAAAATCAATCTGATATTACCAAGTAACATTAAACCCCAACACCTGCAAAATAAAACAGTGAGTTTGAACAACAGGCTAGAGATAGCATATTTTCTTAATAAACACATAAAATTCAAAGGTTAATTTCAGTTGCTACAGAAACAACAATCAGGGGCTTAGTAAAATTCCTAGAAATAATTCTAAGCCAGTTCTGAGAATACACTGCTGAATTATAACATCTGACACTGGTAAGCTGAAATTAAAGCAGGAGAAAACTATAATAATAAGAAACATAAGCCTGCCATTACAGATCAAAGGTGGCAAGGTACAAGTAGAACCAGAATCAGCATGGGGAGAGCTGAAGCTTTCAGGAATCCAGAAATTACACTAACTCTAACTCAAGCAGGACTGACTGTAACTTTTTTTAAGATTTTATTTTTGAGAGAGAAAGAATGGGGCAGAGGGAGAGAGAGAATTCCAAGCAGGCTCCACACCCAGCGCAGAGCCTGACATGGGGCTTGATCCCACAACCCTGAGTTGAAATCAGATCATGACCTGAGCTGAAATCAAGTCAGATGCTCAACTGACTGAGCCACCCAGGCACCCCTGACTGCAACTTTTTATATTCACAGACAAAAGGGGGATAAGTACATTCTTCTCACTTTGAAAAACTCTCAGACCACGATGTAAATCCTGCTGGTAATGAAGATACAGTCTAGAGCTAAATCTACATATTATTTTCTAAGTCACTGAGGTGGTACTTATAATCGGGACAGGTGTCAGATGACTATTAATGGATTTCATTAGACAAAAACATTCACCGCATTAAGATCACTTAATATCACTGTTAAGATTAGCCAAATGAAGTTCAAGCTCACCACTGAGCAAACATACAGCTGGCCATCAACTCTACCACAGCACGAGGATACAAAGGGAAGGGCAATGCCTTTGACAGAATATGGCACACAGGGACAGTAGATCTTCAACAATTCTAGTCATAAGACCTATTTTCCGGGGCACCTGAGTGGCTCGGTCAGTTGGGCGTCTGCTTTGGCTCAGGACAAGATCTCAGGGTCCTGGGATCAATCCCCACATGGGACTCCCTGCTCAGCAGGGAGCCTGCTTCTCCCTTTCCCTCTGCCCCTCCCATTGCTTATACTCACTCTCTCAAATAAATAAAATCTTTAAAAACAACAACAACAAAAACAAACCTATCTTCCAAGGCACTGCATGTGAGGTCTCCATGGCAGAAATGCTAATGTGCACAGCCAGGAAGTAGCTGGCCTTGGGGCTTCTCTACTAACCTCTCAAAGGACCACACGGATGTGGTTCAGGTCAAGCAAGATATGTATCAAATCTGCCAACTAACTGAGCTGATTCCGGTGCTCACCTGTCTATCATCTCCTTCGACCTTCATATTAACAAATCTATTAATATCTTTAAAGCTAGAGGGGCAATCAGACAACAAAAAGAGCAATCAGACAACAAAAAGACATTAAAGGCATTCAAATTGGCAAAGAAGAAGTCAAACTCTCCCTCTTCGCCGATGACATGATACTCTACATAGAAAACCCAAAAGCCTCCACCCCAAGATTGCTAGAACTCATACAGCAATTTGGTAGCATGGCAGGATACAAAATCAATGCCCAGAAATCAATGGCATTCCTATACACTAACAATGAGACTGAAGAAAGAGAAATTAAGGAGTCAATCCCATTTACAATTGCACCCAAAAGCATAAGATACCTAGGAATAAACCTAACCAAAGAGGTAAAGGATCTATACCCTAAAAACTATAGAACACTTCTGAAAGAAATTGAGGAACACAAAGAGATGGAAAAATATTCCATGCTCATGGATTGGCAGAATTAATATTGTGAAAATGTCAATGCTACCCAGGGCAATTTACACGTTCAATGCAATCCCTATCAAAATACCATGGACTTTTTTCAGAGACTTAGAACAAATTATTTTAAGATTTGTGTGGAATCAGAAAAGACCCCGAATAGCCAGGGGAATTTTAAAAAAGAAAACCATAGCTGGGGGCATCACAATGCCAGATTTCAGGTTGTACTACAAAGCTGTGGTCATCAAGACAGTGTGGTACTGGCACAAAAACAGACACATAGACCAATGGAACAGAATAGAGAATCCAGAAATGGACCCTGAACTTTATGGTCAACTAATATTCGACAAAGGAGGAAAGACGATCCACTGGAAGAAAGACAGTCTCTTCAATAAATGGTGCTGGGAAAATTGGACATCCACATGCAGAAGAATGAAACTAGACCACTCTCTTGCACCATACACAAAGATAAACTCAAAATGGATGAAAGATTTAAATGTGAGACAAGACTCCATCAAAATCCTAGAGGAGAACACAGGCAACACCCTTTTTGAACTTGGCCACAGTAACTTCTTGCAAGATACATCCACGAAAACAAAAGAAACAAAAGCAAAAATGAACTATTGGGACTTCATCAAGATAAGAAGCTTTTGCACAGCAAAGGATACAGTCAACAAAACTCAAAGACAACCTACAGAATGGGAGAAGATATTTGCAAATAACATATCAGATAAAGGGCTAGTTTCCAAAATCTATAAAGAACTTCTTAAACTCAACACCAAAGAAACAAACAATCCAATCATGAAATGGGCAAAAGACATGAAGAGAAATCTCACAGACGAAGACATAGACATGGCCAACATGCACATGAGAAAATGCTCTGCATCACTTGCCATCAGGGAAATACAAATCAAAACCACAATGAGATACCACCTCACACCAGTGAGAATGGGGAAAATTAATAAGGCAGGAAACAACAAATGTTGGAGAGGATGTGGAGAAAAGGGAACCCTCTTACACTGTTGGTGGGAATGTGAACTGGTGCAGCCACTCTGGAAAACTGTGTGGAGGTTCCTCAAAGAATTAAAAATAGACCTGCCCTATGACCCAGCAATTGCACTGTTAGGGATTTACCCCGAAGATTCAGATGCAATGAAACGCCGGGGCACCTGCACCCCGATGTTTCTAGCAGCCATGTCCACAATAGCCAAACTGTGGAAGGAGCCTCGGTGCCCATCGAAAGATGAATGGATAAAGAAGATGTGGTTTATGTATACAATGGAATATTACTCAGCCATTAGAAACAACAAATACCCACCATTTGCTTCAACGTGGATGGAACTGGAGGGTATTATGCTGAGTGAAGTAAGTCAGTCGGAGAAGGACAAACAGTGTATGTTCTCACTCATTTGGGGAATATGAATAATAGTGAAGGGGAATATAAGGGAAGGGAGAAGAAATGTGTGGGAGATATCAGAAAGGGACACAGAACATAAAGACTTCTAACTCTGGGAAATGAACTAGGGGTGGTGGAAGGGGAGGAGGGCGGGGGGTGGGGGTGAATGGGTGACGGGCACGGAGGGGGACACTTGACGGGATGAGCACTGGGTGTTATTCTGTATGTTGGTAAATTGAACACCAATAAAAATTAATTTATAAAATAAAATAAAAAAAATAAAGCTAGAGGGGCTTAATATTTGAAGAGAATGTAGTAAATCCAAGGAGACAGAAACAAAAGCAACAAACTTCTACACCCATTCCCCCATCCTCAGTTAGGATAAGGCAGAATGATGTGAATGCTGAGACTTCTATATTTAGTTTAATACAGTCTTTGGTTTCTTATTTCTTTGAGCTTGGTGGTCTCAAATGTCAGTGCATGAGAAATACTGTCCAGGGTTATGTAGACAGAATTCTGGTTCTAGCAACACAGCAGACTGAAATGCTAGATTAAATATCCTGATAACCAAAAAAACCTGATAACTACTGCTAGGCTTACAAAAACAGTGACTCTAAAAAAAAAAAAAAAAAGAAGAGAAAGCAAAGAATACAAGAATACTGTCAGCTGAGCAGGGGCTGTTGGTAAGGGAGCAGGTAGGAGAATCTGGCTTTAACATCTAGAGTCTTCAAGCCCATGTGCAGATGGGGGGAAAGGGCATATAAAGCCAGGATCCGGGGATCCCTGGGTGGCGCAGTGGTTTGGCGCCTGCCTTTGGCCCAGGGTGCGATCCTGGAGACCCGGGATCGAGTCCCACGTCGGGCTCCCGGTGTGTGGAGCCTGCTTCTCCCTCTGCCTGTGTCTCTGCCTCTCTCTCTCACACTGTGTACCTATCATAAATAAATAAAAATTAAAAAAAAAAATAAAAGCCAAGATCCTTTGAAGGATGCTCCTTTGAAAAGACAGAGAGAAAAACTCTACCCACTGACCAGCAAGAGGGCCTACCTGAGGCTCTGTCTACCCAGGGAGAAAAAAATTCTCTCTTGAGAGATCAAAACATTGCACCAGGCTTGACGTCCCATGTGGCACAGGAGTCCTAAAGCTGTGGAACTGATGGACAGATGGACCTGAGCCAGTCATACAAGTATCTAGTTCATGATGACAAATTATGACACACACACACTCAGGGAGCAGGAGTCAGCAGACACAATCCAGGGGACGATCTGTGCTTCAAGAATTCAAATACTAAAGCAACAGAAATAGACTATAACAACCAGGCTTAAATAGAGAAATGAAGACCAAGAACCATTAAAAAAATAATAATAAGAAAAAAAAAAAAAACGAAAGATGACCAAAAAGGAGGCACCAACTTGAACAAGAACTAAAGAGAATTTGCTGGAAGGAAGAAGTTGTCACCAAAATAAAAACCCAGTGAATGGCTGACATGGGTGAGCGGCAGCTCAGGACCAAAGTAAGGCCTGGAGAAACTCATGAGGCAGCAGCCGAGAGGCAGACGCAGGATGTGTCCAAGGGACAGATGGAACATGGAGCGACAAAGTTCACTACACTACCCACTCAAGGTCCAGAGGTAAGACTGGAGAAGGCGGTCATGTTTGAAAAAACAAACTTGACAGGATTAGGGGAAAAAAAAAAAAAAAAGAACCCCAGGTTAAAGAAGCACAAGTCTCAGGCAGGGGTCTTAGAAAATCTTCACTCAGACACACCATGGTCAAAGAAGCAGAACCCTAAGGGCAGAGACAATCTTAAAAAGCCAGCTGAGATGTCAACCGCGCACTGAGGCACGGTTGCACTGGGGCATTCTGAGGTTTTCAGGGGTCAGGGGATGTATTAGATTTCCCCCTAAATGCTGAAGGTCAGGACGCAGCCCATGTGCCCAGGAAAGCCAGTCAAACAGCAGTCCATGATGCAGCTGCTGAGGAGACCAGCACCGAGCCGAGGACAAATAGCTGCCTAAGGCCTCTGGGCACCTGGGAAGCACACCTGTGCTCTGGGACCAAGAGGCTTCTCCAGGGCTGGCTGTCTAGATGGGCAAGAAGACCCCAAGGAGCTTGGAGAAGGAGCTACGATGCTGTAGATACAGCTTGTCTTCCACAGGTTCAAGTCCTGGCTCTGCCACCTACTACGATGGGAGTCGGGACATGTAACCACAGCAAACAACAGAGATGAAAGGAGCACTGCTCCACCACAGGGACGTCTCCTGAGGACTCAATGACTGGGGATCTATGGGAGCACCACACAAATAGTGTGGCAAGAGAAAAAGATATTTAATAGCGACCGATATTTTATGATGCCTTACAGCCTTCACTTTGCTTTCTCATACATTATCTGATCTGCCCTTTGTAACAAGCCACTGAAGTGGGACAAATACTAACTTTTTCTATAAACTGACCAGGGATAGAAGGGCCATCTGGTTACACACAGGCCTTGCAGTATGAATCCCAGCTCCACCACGTCCTAGCTGTGTGGCCTGAGCATGTCACTGAACTGCTCTGTGCCTATTTCCTCACCAGGAAGGAGGGATAGCCATTGCAACCAACTCACAGATTAATTTATTTGCACTTAAATACCTACTGTAGGCTGAATACTAAACACAGTAAGAAAAAAAAATAAGACAAAAGTCCCTGCCTTTATAAAGCATTTACAAAGAAACAGACAAGAACACACACATGGTCTCAGGTAGTAAGAACTGCAAAGAAGGACAACACCCAGGGGACAGAATGATGGATAGTGGCTGGGCTGGTTTACACAGAACAACCAGGAAAGGCCTCTCTGAAGACATGATACTTTTTTCTTTTTAAGATTTGAGAGAGAGAGAGAGAGAGACAGAGAGACAGAGAACACGAGAGTGAGCACAAGCACAAGCAGGGGCAGTGCAGAGGGAGAGGGAGAAAGAATCTTCAAGCAGGCCCCGCACTGAATGCAGAGCCTGACCTAGGGCTCGATCCCAGGACCCTGAGATCATGACCCGAGTCAAAATCTTTTTATTTTTTTAAAATTTTTTTCTTTTTTTTTTTTTAATTTATGATAGAGAGAGAGAGAGAGAGAGAGAGAGAGAGAGAGAGAGAGAGAGAGGCAGGCAGAGACACAGGCAGAGGGAGAAGCAGGCTCCACGCACCGGGAGCCCGACGTGGGATTCGATCCCGGGTCTCCAGGATCGCGCCCTGGGCCAAAGGCAGGCGAGGCACCAAACCACTGCGCCACCCAGGGTTCCCCCGAGTCAAAATCTAATGTTAGATGCTTAACCGACTGAGCCACACAGGTGCCCCTGAAGACGTGATATTTGAACTAAGATCTAAAGGATAAGAAACCAGTCATGAAAAGAACTAAAAGGAACAGTGTTTCCAGCTAGAGGGAAGAGCAAACACAAAGAAGACTATGGTGAGGGGTAATGAAAGACCGCACATGCTCAGTACTGTGCATGGCATGCAGCACGCATCCCATACACAGCAGCTGTGATGACGACAGTTACCGAAGCCACAGTGCTTCACGGTGTTTGCCATTATTGCACATCTACTGAGAAAAGCATCCACTGGAGGGAGAGATGGAGCAGAGATCCATGGCCTTACAAAGGCACTCCAAACCCACTAGCACCAGCAGAGTCTCTCAACTTGGGGGAGGAGGAGGGACAGGGAGGGAGGACATGAGGAGCCCAGTGGGCTCAGCGAGGGAGAGACAGAAAGTCCACTGGCCTAGCACTGCCTGATTCCTGCCATCTTGCTCATGCTAGTCCGTAGTTTGGGCTTCTCTGTTTACTAAAGGATCCAACCAACATACCTTCACTGACAACTGAGCTCACAGGCTTAGGCAGTTAAGAGAATGACTCAATGTCACAGGGCCTCAGTGGTATGGCTGAAATTAGAACCCAAGTCTCCTGACTTACATTCATCCCACTGCTTCTCCAATGGGCCACTCTCCTCTTCCAAGCTAGGACTTGGGTCATCTCAGGTCAACTGAAAAGGCTCCAAGCTCCTACTCTGACGGCAATGCAGAGCAGCCCCCCTCTCAGGCACTGAAAGCAAACCGTGTACTAAAATGGATATCATCTCTATTATCTTGAACCCCAAATTAATTCAAATATTAGTTTTACACTTAACTGTGTCCTGCAGAACTGTCAAAGAAGCACTCAGTGACTCTGTTTAAGTTAGAATCTGATCTGTATTTTCTGAAATTCTAAAATCCTATGAAGCAAAACATGAAAACATTCAAACCTGAACTGATACTTGATTATCAGCCCTAAATCCTCATCTTCTTGTCTAGTAACCACCCCTAGGCGGCAATCTCGATAGAGTTTGGCATCTTTTAGGGAGATACCAGGAGACCAGAGTAAGGCCACACGCCTATCTCTTCCTTACTCCCTGCTTTGCGCAAATGAAAACTGGTGTCAGAAGGATTCAGAAAAAGTAGTCCGAAACACTGTGAGAGACAAAAATGACTTTTCACATCAGTAAGATGGGTGTTTTTAAAATCATTGGGCAGGTGAAGACAATAGTGTTTGTTAGATCTTTGTGCATTTCTATATTTAAACAGAATAAAACTACAAATGATTATACGAAAAGCACCACAGGGGTTCAGCATATGGTACAAATTGCTAGGGCTTCATGCTTTCTGTAGTTAGGGCATCAGGATGCGCATGATTCTCTTCCAAAAAGAGTTGTCACAATTATACTGAAATGCATCAAATCTGGAGAAGATCATTCTAACTTGAACTTAAGCTATTTACTAAAAACAGATCAAAAAAAAATAAATAAATAAAAATAAAAAATAAAAAAAATAAAAATAAAAACAGATCAAAACATATACCGTACCAAGATTTTGATGTGGTTCACTTTCTTCAAACTTTCTTGTAACCGCTGACTCTGCAAAACACAAAGAGCAACAATTATTATATTTTCAATTAAATTCTATACTTAATAATTACTGATTTTAATTTCATTAGATCAGGGCAACATATTAAGAAATGGTTTTCAGGAGGGTCTTTGCAGGCCTGCACACAAGGACCTCAGCAGGCACATAATGCCATCTGTCACTTGGTGGCTCCTGAGTTAGGCCTCCCAATTCTTACTTTACAACAACTGCAAACATTCCCAATCTTTCAGTTGCAAGTTACATGTGGTGCTTCCAGAAATGCCTTTTCTAATAAGACATACATAAATTTGTCGTATTTGCAAAATCAGTCATCCATTCTTTCAAAAACCACTCAGTACCTGGCAACAAATGCAAAAACAAACCAGTGGGCCCACATCAAACTAAACAGCTTCTGCACAGCAAAGGAAGCCACCATCAAAATGAAAAGGCAGCCTACCGAATGGGAGAAAGCATTTGCAAATAATTTATCTGATAAGGAGTTAATGTCCTTAAGTTCAAGTTAGAAAGATATATACAACTCCTACAACTCAAGAGCAAAAAACCCCCAACATCTGATTAAACAATAGGAAGATCTGAATAGAGATTTTTCCAAAGAAGATCTGCAGATGGCCAAGAGGTACCTAAAAGGTGCTCAGTATCACCCATCCTCAGGGAAATACAAATCAAAACCTCAATGAAGTAATGCCCTAAACCTGTCAGAATGGCTAGTATCAAAAAGAAAAGAAATAACAAACGTTGGCAAGAATGTGGAGAAAAGGGAACCCCAGGGCACTACTGGTTAAGAATGTAAACTGGCATAGCCCTTATGGAAAATAGTATAGAATTTCCTCAAAAATTTAAAAATAGAACTACCATATGATTCAGCAATTCCACTTCTGGGTATTTATCCAAAGAAAGCAAAAATACCAATTTGAAAAGATATCTGCACCCCCATGTTCACTGCAGCATTATTTACAATAGCCAAGATATAGAAACAACCTGAATGTCCAGCAATGGATGGATGAATAAGGAAATATGGTATATAATATACATACACAGTGAAGTATCATTCACCATAAAAAAGAATGAAATCTTGCCATTTGTGACAACATGAATGGACCTTCAGGATATTATGTTAAGTGAAATAATTTAGAAAGAGAAAAATAAATAGCATACGATCTCACTTATATGTGGAATCTCAAACAAAACAAAAACCCCACAAACTTATCAATATAGAGAAGAGACTGGTGATTGCAAGAGGCAGGGGGTGGAAGGTGGCAGAAATGGGCAAAGGTGGTTTAAGGATACAAATTTCCAGTTGTAAAACAAGTCAGTCACAGGGGTGTCATGTCAGCATGGTGACTATAGCTCCTAACACTATACTGCATATTTGAAAATTGTTAGAATTCTTAAAAGTCTTCATCACAAGAAAAAATAATTCTGTAACAATGTATGGTGACACGTGTAACTTAGACTCGTATCTGTGGTGATTGTTTCCCAATACACACAAATATTGACTCATTATGTGGTATAACTGAAACTGATACAATGTTATATGTCAATTATAGCTCAAAAACCCTCCCAAAGTAACAAGTAAACAGTACGAAGATCTGAATATTCCTACCAAGTGCCAGTGCCAATGTGCACAAGGCGCAGAACTTAATACTGGAGAAGAAAGAGGAAAGACACAGGAGGAAGAGCTGTTCAGACACAGGGTCTGGAATAAGCACCCCTGAGTTCAGAATCTCACCTGCAGGATGAGTAAGTCCATCTGCCACTTACTGGCTATGAGCGTGGACACTATTCAGCCTCTCTGTACTTCAAGTCCCTAATGATAAAATGGGGAGACAGGGCTGTTGTGTCAGATGCATGGAAACGGTTGCCAGAACACTGTGTGCATCATATGTGTGATGACTTTCACCCTCATCATTCTTATTATTATCTCCATCCCAGGTCTTTCATCACTGATGTGGGGATAAAACAGCATCTACTTCATGCAATTGGGGCTCATGCATTCTGCATTTACTGAATGGAAATGTGGAAAACCCTCATGAAAACTATTTGTTAGTACGCTGTATACCTGTAGACTTCATATTCAAGGGAAGGTCAAATGAGACTGGGTGGTCAGTGCACTGCATAGGGCTTTGCACAGAATAAATGCCCACTAACTGCTTCCCAGGAAGACGAGGATGATGACGATGACGATAATGATGAGAGGAAGCAACGGAGGAAGATACAGATTTCTGCCCCCACGGATGCACTATAACCACATGTGCTACATTTCCCTGCAGGTTCACATGCGCTTGGAACAGCAGGGAGTCAGCGACAGGCTATCAGAAGTCCTATGACCAGCTACAGCATTTGCCTGCAGGCAGACAGAGCTGCAGTGACCTCAAGGGCTTGGCAGCTAACGTCTCATTATTTTCCTGTGCTCCATAAGCCAGAGGGAATTAAAGAGCCCTCCCCTGATCCCCAGACCTTCCCTGAAGTGACTAAGTTACCAAAGCAATAAAGGCCTCTCCTTCTGAGCAACCAAATCTCAAGACTTGAGTGAACAGCCTGGTGAGACAATTTTTTCAAAAAATGTGCTTTTGTAAAAATAATGAACATAAATCTTAAAGTTATCTCATGTAAGAATCAAACTGCTTCATTTACAGTATCTCTGTTGCATCAGAAACTAGGGTTAGAATGAACTATCCTGATATCAGGAACCCAAAGACAGCTGCTACGGTGATACAAAGATAGTAAATTTCCCTAAACATGACACTTGAGAAGTGCTGATTCCACAGAATACATTTAAAACAGATTTTTAAATCCATCTGCATGTGATCAGCCGCTACTGTAAAAGCCTCACACATATGAGCTCATTAAGTCCACCTAACAATCTATTACCTCACCCCTGTCTCCCACGTAAGCAAACAGACTTAGGTGACATCCAGCTTTCAGACTCAGCTCTCACACTGCATTAATGTGACTTTTTTTGCTTTCTAAACTATGGCATAATTATGCATTTTCATAATCAGAACACCTCATACAGAAGGAGAATTACCGAACTGTCCCTTGAGCCTTGCCACTTGGGAGGCCAAGCCAGCTGGTATTAAAAATATGCAGCTCATGGATTCACCAACCCCTAGTGGCCCTATTTCCTTCCCTCTCAAAAGACAGCCAGTCAAGTGCCACATTTACCCCCCTACCCCCCACCCAACACTCCTCTTTTGTTTCTTCCTCCACTCCTTGGCTCTCATCCTGTGACTTCTTTTCTCATCCTATGATGACACCGGCATTCATCTTATCTGATTTTGTGTGGATACAAATGCTGGGACACCGCAGCAGTCCCTCCCAGAGCTTTGGACAGGAAACATATGCCTGCAGTCTGCTGCTCATGAGATGCCAAATCCAGCCAACAAGGTAATGGACAGCGGGTGAGGCAATGGGGCAGTTTTCAGTCACTGCTCTTGCCACGGGGTACTGGTGGCTCAGCTGAACTTGAGACTTCTACTCACCAGTTGGCATGCATGCTTAATCCTCTCCACAATCCCATCAAGCCCCAAGTACTGTAAAGACAACCACAGCGGTAGGGCACGGAGCTTGTCTGCTGGCTTGTTTGATGTAAGACCGGCAACTAAAGTCTAAAAAAAGCCAATATGGTTTTAGTGATCAAAGCCAACGAAGACACAAGCAGAATTATCTAGTTTCCTCTGCATTTATTAGTACATGTTAGATGCTATGCTAGGCATTTGGTTTGTCTTATTCATCTGATCATCTACAGTTTCATGAGGGCAGTATTCTAGGCAACCTGGATCAGAGAACTTGCTTTCAAGGGTGCATGGCTCAGGTGCAGCAAAGCCAGGATGAGAATCCAGAGAGGTCACATCCCACAGACAGATCTCTCAGGCACTCAAGAGGTAGTCCTATCCAAGGCTGAGTGTCCTCAAACACCTGGCCATTATCAACTAAGACATGAACTGTCTTATTAGTAAGAATCAGTGAAGCTTATTTCGCATATGCCTATCACTAACTGATCCACTACTAGCAAGAACCACTTCTTAAAAAAAAGAATTACAACCTTGTAGACAACAGGAATTAGGAACTTTACTCTTAATGTCACTTCTGGGAACCTATTCTAAGGAAGTAATTTGAAATACAAAAAGATGCTCTTTACTTTAGAAACAAAAAATTGAAAACATCTTAAAAGTTGACAAAGAGAATGATTAAATTGTGGTATTTAAGTGATAGAATATTACAGAGTCATAAAATGTCATAAAAAGTTCTTCATACACATGGGGGCCTATGGGGAGGATAAATAGAAAAAAAATGCACACAGTACTGTTTCATTTATGCTAGAAACATTCTTTTGATTAAAAAAAATCTCAGGTGGCATTAAGAAAATTTTTCACTTTTTCCATACTTTGCTCCTAGACTCAATAATGATTATTAGCATCACATCCTAGTCCCCCCGAGTGAGAGTGAGCTTACCAAGGCAGGATCGTCGTGTTTATAAAGGGTGACTGCAGGGACAGCTGGCAAACCCAGCCATGGACCTGGAGTCAATGTCATGCTGTCACATTTGGTTGCAGCCTACCAAAGAGAAAACAACTTTTTGTTATAGACTATCAGAACACACTAAACCACATACTCTTCCATTCATAAAAAGCATGAAAAGTCATCAGGGATTAAGAGATTTTTTTTTTTTTAAAGTAGGCTCCATGTCCAACATGGAGCTCAATACGGGGCTTGAACCCAAAACCTTGAGATCAAGACTGGACTGAAAATCAAGAGCTGGACTGACAGAGCCACCAGGCGCTCCAGAATTAAGTGATTTTAAATTCCTTCTTAAAATCACAATATTTAGTAAATCAATCACATACCAGCACTGATGAGGAGACATAACCTAAAGCCAAGGTTGCCAGATTCACACTGGAAAAAAAAACAAATTATTTATTGCTGCTTATTAAGTTTATATTAAAAACAAAAAAGGCTGTGTTGTTTTAAGCTGACATTTCAATGTCATTCAGCTGGGTTAAAAGCATTTATAACAGAAAATGAGGTATATGCAAATTTCAGCAAAACCTTGAAAATGTGCTTTAATCAAAAGTGTTTTAGGGGATGTCACCTACTTACATAGTGTAATGGGTATCTCATTTTTTATCTTTCATACCTATTATTTTCCAGTCATCACTCTCTTCCCAAAGGGATAAAATAAGAACCCAGCTCATATGGTGGGCTGGGTATGGATTCCCATAGCTGCCCTGTATCCTCTCCTAAGATCTTCTGGGAAACCACACCAATCTCCTCCATCAGACCACAGCTTTGGGTGGAGGAGACACCACCACCTGCTCCAGGGGTGCACAAATAACCTCAACTACCAAAGTGTTAGACTTCCCTGGCCATAGTGATGGGCTTAGGAGACTTTTGCTGGGACTTCTGACCCTCAGGACACAAGCTGGAAAACAAATTGGAGCCACTGCAACTAGTTTGTACCAAAACAGGAAAATCTATCTATAGATGGAAGCAACATAAAGGAAATGACGCCAAGTGACTGGGGGAGAGGGTGGAGGGGAGAGGAAGATGCTGAGCCCCGGCTGACACTATGCCTAAATATAATCCTAACACCATTTTTTTTAGTGTGAGCCAATAAAATCTCTTCTCACCCAGACTACTTTGAGTTATTTTGTTACCTTTACTATGCAACCCAAAGAGCCCTTAGTGATAAACGTTACAACAAAATAAGAACCTGGATGCCCACTCTTCATGAACACTGCCTGCAGGCCTACGACCGAGCCAACTTTGCCCTCTACTCACCCCTCCACGTGAAGCCATATGCCATACTGCTCACAGAGTTCTTTCAAACGCCCAATCTTATCTGTGTGCCCTACTGCTGCAGTTCCTAGGGTGAAACACACAAAAAAGGATACTAAATACCTTGAGTCTTTACAGCATGATAAAAGCTTTTAACAACATTATCTCTAAGCAGGAAGTAACATTTTATGTCTCATTGAGATTTTCTCTGTGAACTGGCTTAAAATCAACTTGTAAAAGTTGATTCAAGTTCTGAAGTGTGCATATTCTTTTTATGTAACTATAGAAGCAAGCTTGTTAATATTGCTACTTAAAACCTCTAGATACTTTTTTTTTTCTTTAGCTACTTGATGTTCTATCAGGAGAAGTATATTCAAGTCTCTCACCAAGACTGTGGGTTTGTGAATTCATATTTGTATTCTATCAATTTTTCCTTTGGCTTTCCTTTATATATCTCAGTTACATTTGTCAGCATTCTTAACTATTGTGTCTTATGGAGTACATGAATTATAATTAGTGTGTAGTCTACTGTATCTCACACTAACATGGCTGTCACTACTTACCCAAGATACTCTTTTCCATGTTTGCTTTTTGTCCCTTTCTGGGTTATTTTTATTTAGGTGTGTCCATTATAAATGTACATGATAAATTTGTGGGCTTTTTTTTAGCCCCACATATATATGAGAGGTTCTTTGTTTTCAATCCAGATTATGCATTCTAAAGTTAAACATACTGAATGCTTTAACCCGTCTCCTTAATAAATCTGTTTACACTACAGGTTGGGTAGGCGGGTCCCTCTTCATAGAGCATGAGTGAAACTGGACTTGCACATTCTCCTGACCGTCCTAACCTTTGCATTAACAGAATCCCACCTAACAAGGCTGCAAACCCCCACCAACCACCTCAACAAACACAACCAATGCAAGTGGTTCTTTTGCACAGTTTAGGTTTATAAACCCTCTATCACTGATTTTTGTATACAGAGGTATGGGTTAACATTCATTTTTTTTTCCCATGTTGATATCCGCTTTCAAGGCCACTGGTGGAAAAGACCCTCCTTTTTTCCCTTGAAATACCTTGGCATCATTGTAACAAGTCAAATGACCATATACACGTGAGTCTATTTCTAAACTCTATCCTTTGCAATTAATCCCACACTGTCCTGATTTCTGTAGCTTTATATTAAAGCTAAAAACCAGATAAGCCTAAGTCCTTTTTTTAAAAAAAAAAGATTTTATTTATTCATTCATGAGAGATGCAGAGAGAGAAGCAGAGACACAACACAGGCAGAGGGAGAAGCAGGCTCCATGCAGGGAGCCCAATGCGGGACTCGACCCCAGGATCACACCCTGAGCCAAAGGCAGGTGCTCAACTACTGAGCCACCCAGGCGTCCCAAACTTAAGTCTTTGAATTCTGTTCTTTTTCAAAATTATTTTGGTTATCTTCACAGCCTCTGTATTTCCATACACAATTCAGAATCAGCTTATCAACTTCTGTAAGAAATTGTAGCCTGCTGAAATCATAATAGGGACTGATATGTAGAATCTGTAATTTGGGGAAATTAGACTTTGTAATATTGAGTCTTCCAACAGGTGTATATGACCTATCACTCCATTTATTTGGGTGGATCTTCTTGAATATCTCTCAGCAACATTTTGTAGTTTTCAGTGTACAGATCTGGCATATATTTTTGTTAAATGTATCCATAAAGTTTTAATTTTTTGATGCTATTATGAATGGCATTTTTAATTCAATTTCAATGGTTCATTGCTGATATACAGAAATCCTACAACCTTGATCAGTCTACTTAATAGTTCCAATGGCTTCTCTGTAGTTTCCTTAGGATTTTCTATTTACATAGTCATGCCATCTGCAAGTCAAGATAGTTTATTCTAATATGTGTGTCACTTCATTAGTTTTCTTGCCTTATGCACTGTCTATAATTTCAAGTACAATGCTGAATATGAGGTAGGAAGCACAGCAGAAAGTGGTAGAGGAACTGTTATATACAAGGTGGACACTTAAGTGTGACATTTTTATTTTTTAATAGATTTTAGTTATTTGACAGAAAGGGACCAGGAGAGTGCACAAGCAGGGGAAAGAGCAAGGGAGAGGGGAGAAGCAGGCTCTTTAATCAACAGGGAGCCAGGAGACACGGGGCTTGACCTAGGATCACGACCCGAGCCAAAGGCAGATAGATGCTTAACTGAATGAGCCACCCAAGTGCCACTAAGTGTGACATTTTAAAATTCAATTTAGAAAGGAAGCACACAAGAGAAGGAAGTACTTACAACTTATATGAAGAAGTATACAAACCAACAAAGTAACTCCCTAAACAAACCAATAATTAAAAGGGAATCTAAGGAGGCAAATGTAGTATTGTAATTCTCACCACAATGCTAATATAAACTACCTTAAACATGTGGCACATAAACATTTCTTTAGACTCTTTGTTTAGGCTTAGTACCCAGTCATTCTCTCATATGTCTAAAATGGGAGATTCAGTTCGTAGTACCTACCAGCATTTGCTACAAGCAAAAGGGGCAGTTTTCCTCGTTCTATATCATCTTTAATCAGTTTCTCCAGGAAAGCAACATCCTAGATGAAAAGGCAAACCACAAAAACATGAAGCAACTAGGATAAAAGCTGTTATACAATAAAAAATTATAAAAAATAAATAAATAATTATAATTTTCAAAAGAAGCAGATGGTTCTCAATCACACAAATCAATTCTTACTCTTTTATTCTTTTTTTTTAATTTTTTATTTATTTATGATAGTCACAGAGAGAGAGAGAGAGAGGCAGAAACACAGGCAGAGGGAGAAGCAGGCTCCATGCACCGGGAGCCCGATGTGGGACTCGATCCCGGGTCTCCAGGATCGCGCCCTGGGCCAAAGGCAGGCGCTAAACCTCTGCGCCACCCAGGGATCCCCACTCTTTTATTCTTTAAGTAGGTTCCACACCCTACTGGAGTCCAACATGGGGCTTGAATGCATGACCCTAAGATTAAGCCTCGAGTTGAGATCAAAAGTCAGATACTTAACCAGCTGAGCCATCCAGATATTCAAGTCTTATTTTTCTATTTTCTCTAATCATAGAAACAAAAATCAAAGTTTCCCTTGAAGATTAACTACAAAAATTAGTTAAATGAGATCAAAGTTAAAAACTGCACAAAGGATGAGTATTTCTATAATTTTAAACATGTTTAAAGAAAATAGTCTCTTAATCCCCTCAAAATAGCTAAAAATATATCTCTAATATTACTCATTGATGTATCTGAACCAGAAGAGCAAACGACCTTGGAAAAAGAAACACAGAACCCTAAACCTATTCCCTTTTTTCTGGCTTCAGCTGGAAAGCCAGAAACACTTGAATGTTTAAAAATAAGCAGAAGAGGCGAAGGGAGGGAAAAATAAAACAAGACGAAATCAGAGGGAGACAAATCATAAGAGACTCTGAATCACAGGAAACAAACTGAGAGTTGCTGGAGGGGAGGGAGGTGGGGGGATGGTAACTGGGGGATGGACATTAAGAAGGGCATGGGATATAATGAGCACTGGGTATTATATAAGACTGATGAATCACTGAACTTTACCTCTGAAACTAATAATACATTATATGTTAAGCTGAATTTAAATTTTAAAAACTTAAAAACTAAAAAAAAAAGGAGAACCCAATTTTTTTTTAAAGACTTTATTTATTCATGAGAGACACAGAGAGAGAGGCAGAGACACAGACAGAAGTAGAAGCAGGCTCCTTGTGGGGAGCCTGATGTGGGACTTGATCCCAGGACCCCAGGATCATGACCTGAGCTGAAGGCAGACGCTCAACCACTGAGCCACCCAAGCATCCCAGAGAATCCAATTTTGATCCCACATTACAATAAAGAACCCCATTTTCAAAATCTGCCATTCACAAATCCAGACAACAATGATAACCTTTCTAAGGATGAGCTTCAGAAGAAGTTTCTGGTGCTTAACTGGATTCCCATGTTTCTACTTAAAGCAGGTGATATAGTAATGACAAGATTGCTTAAGAGGCAGGTGCTCCTGACCTATATGCCAGCCAACCTTCATGGACATGCAAACCCGGAAACACATATTATGCAATAAATACAAGCAATAAATGAACAAGTTAAAATTACCTGGAGGCCAGCAAACAGAACTTCATTTGAAAGGAAGACAGTTTCAAAACACAATTCTGTATTATTTTACAAACCAAAAAGAGAACTCACCATCTGATGCTGGGATCCAAACATAGTGTTACACGGCACACGACACAAACATGGGAAGGGCAACCCAAGCTGCAAGAGGAAACATACAATTTCGTAAGAAAGAGCTTTGTCACCATTCACTTATGCCCCTAAAAGACTGTGGCTCTGAGAAAAGTCACAATTAATCTTTTTAAACAATTCTTCTCCTTACGAACTCTTAATACTATAAACAGATGCTATAGTACATCTAGAAAGTCAAGTTTAAAAGAAAGGTCAATTTCCACAAGCTGAGATTCTAATTTTTTTATTTGAGAGAGTGCATGTGCATGAGAGAGCACAGGCAGGGGATGGACGGAGGGAGAGGGAGAAGCAGGCTCCCAGCTGGGCAGGGAGCCCTATATGGGACTCAATCCCAGGACCCTGGGATGACCTGAGCTACAGGCAGATGCTTAACCAACTGAGCCATCCAGGTTCCCCCTAGGAGCTGAGATTCTTTTTTTTTTTTTTAAGATTTTATTTATTCATGAGAGAGAGAGAGAGGCAGAGACACAGGCAGAGGGAGAAGCAGGCTCCATGCAGGGAGCCCGACATGGGACTCGATCCTGGGACCCCAGGATCACGCCCTGGGACCCCAGGATCACACCCTGGGCTAAAGGCGGTGCTAAACCGCTGAGCCATCTGGGCTGCCTCGAGCTGAGATTCTTAAGAAAATACAGACAATATAATATTCTCTGTGTCAATGAAATAAATAATTATCAATTCATGCTCTGAATGAGTAACTATCTTTTTTATACTCTAGAATATACCAAAAAACAAAAACACGTTTCCAAACCAAGAAACAATCAAGCTCTAAGCATTTTGGGAGATAATTTAGGATCCTTCCTCCAAGCATTAGTGATAAATAACACAGCAAAAGGCATTCAAAGAAGAGTATCTCATTTATGGATCCACCCACTCCTAAAAAGGAATAAATATGGATTAGCAGATGTACATTTCTTAAAGAAATGAAGTCAGTGTTATGAATGAAGAGAGTAATCATCAAATAAATTTTATATTCTTTATTTTTAGCTTCCAAATCCTTGAAGAGTTTATAGTTTTAGAAACTTTTAAACAGTTGCAGCATATTGTTCTGTGTAACTAAGACTTGGTAGCACCATTTTGAGACCAAAAACTTAATGAGCACTGTATGCACACTTTATTTCCCTTGAAGGATTTTCTTTTTAAATTATGAAATAAAACCCAAGTAAGATACACAATAAAAAATACAGAAGATAAAGGTGAAAATGCCCTACCACCCCATACGCCATCACTCCACCACTGTTAACAGGTTAGTATAAAAACTTCTAAGTATTTTCTAAGTATTTATATAAATTTTTTTTAGGTATGAAAAACATACACATATGCACTTTCTTTTTTAAAAGTAAGCTCTGTGCCCAATGTGGGGCTTAAACTCATGGCTCCAAGATCAAGAGCTGCGTGCTCCTCTGACTGAGCCAGTCAGGCGCCCTACACAAATAAACATTTTCAAAAACATGAATATGACCATGTTATATATACTATCCTGCCATCTGCCTTTCTCACTTAACAAAATACCCTCATACAGTAAAAGCTCTACACCCAGGGTGAGGCTGGCACTCAGGACTCGAGAACAAGAGTTGCATACTCTTGCGACTGAGCCAGCCAGGCACACCCCCACTCACACACATCTTTTAAAGATTGGACTCTTGCCTCAAGACAGCTATGGGTCTGTAAGAACCTGGCTTGCAGTAGGTACTTAATAAGTAACTCGTTCCAGCTTTCTGTAAGGATATTATAAATCTCATTCTGTACACACTCAAAAAGAGGACATAAGGGGAACTGTGTGGCTCAATCGGTTACGCATCTGACTCCTGGTTTCGGCTCAGGTCATAATCTCAGGGTCCTGAAATTGAGACCCGTGTCAGATTCTGCAGTGTGAAGTCCGCTAATCTCTCATCTCATAACTAAATAAAATCTTAAAAAAAGACATAATTTCTTGTCATCAGTGATCATAGCTCATAATCAACTTAAGTCCCTGAGTTTCAAAAAAAAAAAAAAAAAGTCCCTGAGTTTCCCCCATGTATCTCCCCAGGACTCCTCCATCTTACAAAAGACAAAAACCCTCTAATCCTATGGGTTTTGCCTTAAAACAGACTTGGCCAAGAGGCTGAACATTTTTTTTGTAGCCCTTTAATTGGGCTACATGTACCATGAACTTCAAAAATGGGAATTCTCTTTGATCCTGTAATTCTAGATAGACTCTGAAAATCCATCTAATGAATATAATCTAGAAAATAATTTCTATGAACTAGGGGTGGTGGAAGGGGAGGAGGGCGGGGGGTGGGGGTGAATGGGTGACGGGCACGGAGGGGGACACTTGACGGGATGAGCACTGGGTGTTATTCTGTATGTTGGTAAATTGAACACCAATAAAAATTAATTTATAAAAAAAAATAATAATAATAATAATTTCTAGGGATCCCTGGGTGGCGCAGCAGTTTGGCGCCTGCCTTTGGCCCAGCGCGCGATCCTGGAGACCCAGGATCGAGTCCCACGTCGGGCTCCCAGTGCATGGAGCCTGCTTCTCCCTCTGCCTGTGTCTCTGCCTCTCTCTCTCTCTCTCTCTCTCTGTGACTATCATAAAAAAAAAAAAAAAAGAAAATAATTTCTAAATATAAACAAAGCTTGGAGAAAAAAAAATGTTGACTCTCTCTCTACACACACACACACACACACACACACACACTTAAGGGGTGCCTGGGAGGCTCAGCTGGTTAAGCATCCAACTCTTGATTTTTGCTCAGGGCATGATCTCAGGGGTGTGAAATTGAGCCCTGCATTATGCTACACACTGAGCATAGAGCCTGGTTAAGATTCTCTCTCTGGGGCACCTGGGTGGCTTAGTGGTTGAGCACCCACCTTTGGTTCAGGTAATGATCCTGAGGTCCTAGGATTGAGTACCGCATCAGGCTCCCCGCAGGGACCCTGCTTCTCCCTCTCCCTATATCTCTGCCTCTGTGTCTCTCATGAATAAATAAAATCTTAAAAAAAAAAAAATTCTCTCTCTCTCTCCCCTTTATCCTGTTTGTGTGTGCACTAACATACATATATATATAGTGAATATATATATTCACATAGATGTATATATATATCTGAAAATTCATTAATATACATTTATATATTTTCTGATAATAACCAAACATATTGTTTCTTTTCATTTAAAAAGAGCTGCAGCTAAAGACACAGGTCTACATATTTTATAAAGTTTCAGGACAGACAAAAACACAAGTACTTTAAAATATCCACTATATACCACATTACCTGATTACAAAGGTACTGGCCCAGGCCAGGCCTAGCAGCAGCACTAAGATATATAACAGGTTTCTTGTTATATAACACATTGAATCCATCCACTACAAAGTCTTCATAACGAGAATGAATAGCAAGCCTACAGATCTTTGCAAGTCCTTCTCTTTCTTCTTCGTGGAAATAAGCGCAGCCATTTTCATACCTGTTAAGAGACAGCCATATATCAATACGGTCTTATCTTATGTTAACTCTCATTTTACAATCCTGGAAGTAATTCTTTTCTTAACCTAGAAATTGTCATCTAGAATAGTCAAAAAAGATAGGGATCACCCTCAGTCTCTTAGACGGCTGACTTTACCCTAGAGTTGGAGGTTATAAAGTATAGAGCCTGGGTGGCTCAGTCTGTTGAGTGTCACTCTTGATTTTGACTCAGGTCATGATCTTAGAATCCTGAGATCAAGCCATTCATTGAGTACCTGCCCAGCAAGGAGTAAGCTTGTCTCCCTTTCTCTCTACCCCTCACCCTGTTTGCTTGCTCTCTTTCAAATAAACAAACCTTAAAAAAAAAAAAAACAAAAAACAAAAACAGAACAGAGGCAATGATCCTTCATCCATACTCAACTCCATAGAGAGCAGAAACCATAAGAAACAGTAGAGGACAGGAGCCCTTCAGATATAAAAAGGCTGAAATCATGGTTCTGGCTTATTCTACAAGAAGGCCAGTACTAGATAACACAATTGAGGTTCTTAGTTTCAGCCCGAAAACATCCAAAGTAAATAAAATTGTCAAAAATGCTAATCAGCCTAACTTTTGCTTTCACTATTATCTGCCTGGGCCAAATTACTCTTCTCAGTCTGCTAGAGAAATAAGGAGAGAGAATTTCAATTTCAGGTGGTAGACTTTTATTAAAATAGAAGAAAATTTCTCCTTTGCAATACAGTTAGGCAAACTTAGACTCTCGCCAAGCCAACCTCGTTCCCAACTTCTGAAAGTGAGTCTCTCAAGATAAATCTTCCAGGACTAGGCAGACATTCCTTTTCTTTAAAAGTAACAGCATAAACACAAAAATACCCCTGGTCCTCTGTCTTCTACTGAATCCCTACCTGCTATAATTATAATAATGGCAACATTATCACAGCATAAAGCAAATTTCAATTTCATAACACACATCCAACTTTCTTATAGCAGCATTTCCTTTCCACTAAAGCACAAGCTAATACTTTGATTAAAAATACTTGAAGCATTTTCCTGCTCTATATCTTCTATCAACATATGCCAAGCAGGAATCCTAAAAATAAGTAACTCTGACATTATCCAAACTACATGTGCTTATGTTCTTGTCTCTTGGCATATGCTAATTCTTTCACTCATTTAATCTTCGTAACAATACCATGACATAGATAATCTTGTTATCCCCACTTAATAGATGAGAAAACTGAGACATTCAGAGATTAAGCAACCCTTCAAGAGGAAAGGGAAGAGGCAGACATTAACTTAGGTAGCACAGCTCCAGAAAACAGTCTGTACCCAACTCATAAATGTCCTTACCTGAAAATTCTGCATAGCCATAAGGTAGTGTCTGAAAGTATCCTGGTCGTAAGTTTTCTAAGCTTCTCTTTGTCCAGAGTTGAAATATAAGCTCCCAGACTATGCCCCAGCAAAGCTATATGACCTTGTTCTCCAATATTCTGGATTCTGTTAATCAAAATCAGTTATATTAAAAGAGTATTCAAAATATGAATAAAGCAATAAAACAAAACCTAGAGACACAGTATTTCCACAGAGATCTGTCAGACTTGAAATCCATTTAATGGCCTAGAAGGTAAAAATGCAAATAAATCTAGAAAATTCATGTAATAAAGTACTGACAATCTGGGGAAGAAAAATATTTTAAAAACTCAGGTCCTAGGAGGTATTTATGCTTGTTATTGAATATCTACTAAATATACAAACTGTGAATAATTTTCTCCCCATTTTTTAAAATTAAATGCCAGCTGTAAAAACCATGGAGTGTAGAACTGAGATACATTGGGCAGAAAATAATTTTTTCAAAAAATCATTAGATGAAGATCAATTCCCTGCATTGAACAGCTGTTTATAACAATACAGCAAATTCAAGGGGAACCAAGTATCATTTTATACATAATTAAAACAGAAGGACTAATTTCTCTTATAAGAGAAAGTGCACATCGGTAAGAGTAAGACCAGAAAATTGGACAGGATACAGGGCAAGGGATATATTTCATAGAAAAGGAAATATAAATGGGCCTTAAAACACATAAAAAAAGGACACTTAACCTGATTCATAAGAAAAATGCAGTCTAAAATTGTGCTGAAATATAATTTCTAACCTTGCAGACTGGCAACAGTCCTTAAGTCAGCTAAGAGCCTTGCAGGGAAAGGTATGGGGAAAGAGACTCTCTCATGCACTGTTGATGGGGCTGTAAACTGGCAAAATTCCATGGTGGGAAATTTGGCAGTATCTATCAAAATTACAAATACACAAACTATCTAGCCCAGAAACCCCACTTTTGGGACTTTAATCTCCAGAAACACTTGCTTGTGTGATAAATGACACATGTACATAGTTACTGGCTGTAGCAATGCTTGCAACAGTAAACATGAACAGGAGACTATTAAATAAAATATGGTTCATTCATCCAAAGTGAAACTGTCTCTTACAGAAGAAAGGCCCTTGTGTACTGATAAGTGATGAACTCTAAGACCTAAATGAAAAAAGCAAGGTAGAGAAAAACACAGTATTTACATAATAGAGGGAATGTACACATTTTGCTTGTGTATACATACACATAAAGTATCTCTGAAGAATACACAAGAACAAGCTAGCAGGGAGGAATATGAAAGAAATTCCGCTTTTCATCCAAGGCCTCTGTAATTTTAGAATTTACATCAACTTTAGGTTTAGGTAACACATAGCATCACATCACTGACTGAAAATTGCCATTGTATACTCTTTTTTTATTTTTTGAAATTTGAAAAGGGGAAAAAAAGTATTACTTAGTCCAAAAAAAAAAAAAAAATTAAATTTGGGATGCCTGGGTGGCTCAGTGGTTGAGCTTCTGTCTTTGACTCAGGGCATGATCCTGAAGTCCCACACTGGGCTCCCTGCATGGATCCTGCTTCTCCGTCTGCCTGTGCCTCTGCCTCTCTCTCTGTGTCTCTCATGAATAAATAAAATCTTTAAAGAAAATTAAATTTAAAACAATTAACCAAGAAACTAAAGAAATAGCTGAATTAAAGGAATAAAAATAAATGGATGATTCACAGACATGGACTGCCACCAAGAGATTCAGCTGTAGCAATTCCTAGCAGTTCGAACCGGAAGCATGAAGCAGAAGCCACCACCAGCAGCATAGCACACAGCAGTTATTCTCTGGTCCTTTTGCCAGTCTCTCTCTAAGCCACAAAGCCAAGAGATTACAGGGTTGAGTTTTAGTGAGTGCCTTCCTTCTGTGAAATATGTTACCTAAAATCTATTAAATGTCTCCCTGAAAAGGAAAAATGAACACTTTTAATACCACATATAACTCTGAATGAAACGTAGCTCTCTGTTTTGGCAACCTGTAAGAATGCAATCACTATCAAAATTAAGAACACATATACTTTCAAAGAGAAGCTGCCAACCGTCCCTCATTACCGGGTACTCTGGGGCTCCTCATCTTCATCTCCATGCATCAGATTCTGAACTAACTGGAGGATGCTCACCATGTCTTGTCCACTGCAGAATAAAAAGAGAGCTGACGGACAGGTGGAAATAGCACACATCCCTTACCACTCTATTTCCTTCATTTAAACTAGCTTTGATCAGTTTTTTTAATTGAGAAAGAATGTGCTTGAGATACACGAGACATCTTTTAAAAGCAAACCTCAAATTAACTCAATTCTCATTATAACTATGTAAGTATTAAATCTTCTACCTAAACACGAGATTGATTTCTGAAAATTTCACTAATATTACTTCAGCACCGTTTCTCTACCTGTTCATTTGAATCCAAGCAGAATGTTAAATAAGCATATTAAAAAAAAACAAAATAGTCTTTTTAAGATCCTAGAAGGTCAAAGAAGCAGCAAGAATACTCCAATGCCGCTGGTATGACTAGTCTCCTTTCACATAGGAGTCTTGTCTGGTTGTTCTAAGGAGACTTAAAGGTGTAATGCAAGCATCCTTTATCACCATGTCTTCCCCAAGCAGGGAAACTGGAGATCTGCTTAGACTGCAAACAGATTTTCCTCTATCCAAGATACATTATTAAATGCTAATTACATGAGGAGCCGAAAACTTATAAGAATGTGAACAGCTAAAGTAGTAAGCAATGGCAAGGCAACTTGTAATAACATAATGTAAAAATATTATCACTTCATTAAGGGGAATGTGACAAAAAGTTCTTTTGAAAAAGCAGCACTGTCAAAACAATGCCCCAATACCCAATCTTCTCAAGGTACTGACCTCCATGTGAGAGGGGCTATGGCTCTTGGACTTTGTGAAGAGAGTTGGTGCTAGTGATGTGACCTTGAGCAAGCTGCTGAAACTCACTAAGCCCTCATACCACAGAATTGTGAGGACACAAGGAGTGCACGAAAAACGTTTAATGCTATGCCTGGCAAAGCACCATTTCTGAGATGTTGGCTGTCAGCTTTATTAAGTGTGACTACTCCTGACATGTGGCTTTAATTCCCTCCCATGTTCCTGTTAGTATCTCTTCTAGGGAAACTTCCATGGGATTAGTAGAACCCCTTTCTTCCCCTCCAGAGGTCTGGGAAGAAAGGACTGATAGGATTTGGTTCATGCTCTCAGCTTGGAACCTGCTTCACATCTAGAGGGCTTCAAATCAGCACCATTCAGGCTAAAACCAGGAGTGCCTATCTTAAGATATCAGTATCTGGGTGTGTTAGATAGGACACTTATATTGACACAGTGTGATCCTTCCTCCACACTTCTCTTTTGCAACATTGTATTATATTCATATTCAGGTCAAAGGACAATTTAAGGGAGTTGTACTATTTACCTATGTGCAGTTTCCTGGTTATAAAAGAAAGAAGAAGGAAGAAGAAAGAAGAAAAGAAAAAAGAAAGAGAAAGAAAGAAAGAAAGAAAGAAAGAAAGAAAGAAAAGAAAGAAAGAAAGAAAGAAAGAAAGAAAGAAAGAAAGAAAGAAAGAAAGAAAGAAAGAGCGAGCTTGAGGGAAGCTGGGTTAGGACTTTAATTCCAGACTGAGTGCTAACATCCTGTAAACATTTCAGTTACACACCTACTTATTTTTCTGATATTTTCCCTGCTAGCTTAAACCACACACTTGACAGATTTGCTTTAGTTGCCAAAAATAATCACTCTGCTACAAATGATCAAAGTTGACATTTTCATCCTACTGTAGTATTATAAAAATGTTCAATCTTATCAAATTAATATATCTCTCACTATAAAACATAGTCTACTGAATAGATTACAGGTTTCAGGGATGAACTAAATATGATAGTTGAGATATAATTATAAGTTTGCGCATTGCTTTGAGTCATGGGTTTGCTAAATTCTGAATGGGAAATTAAATTCTGAAGAGGAAAGGGGTAGCAGTATTGTAGATTCAGAATTATCACCAACTAGCCAATGGCATTCCAGTTTTCTGATGTTACACTGCACAGGACTCTCAATTTGCTTTATGCTTATCATAACTAAAATTATCAAACAACAATGGTTTGAAAATCTTGATTTAAAAAAAAACACATACCCTAACTAAAAGTATGTATCTTCATTGCCACTTACCTGCCTTGGAGTGGCCCTGGAATATCTCCTGATACCAGCTTCTTTCCATTTTCCTCCTCTGTTCTTCTAATTTAAAGAAAATTAAAAAAAAACTATTTGTTCTATCTTATCAAATTTCTAATATTTGAACATGCAAGCATGTGACAATGTTGCCTCGAACCTCTTAGTAGTAGTGTAGTGATGTAGGATTTGAAACACATTCATCACATCTTTTCCCCCACCCCTGTCGCCCTAGCCCCTAGCTTGGTTCGGGATAGTTTGAATTTCAGGAAAAGAACGTGAAAAAGATTAACACTTTAAACCATTTCTTGGTTAGCTGATGCTCTATAATGACCTAAACATACAGTAAGAAGTACTTATAGAATTCAAATCAATATATTAAGTTAAATAAAACTCTTCATAGGCAGAACTGAAAATTTTAAGTTCAGCTCTTCGATTTCAAAATCTTTTAATTACAAAGTACCTTCTACCTAAAACAAACACCATCTTTAAAGTCAGACGAAACTAAGCTAACCGTGACATTGTGAAACCAAGAGGTGTTTTTACCAGAAGGAAACCAGTGCCACCAGCTTCACAACAGGCTGAACATGTTTAATAGGGTCACTTCTGTTCCAGGCTCACCTCTGACTGTCCTCTAGCATCTTCATGGCCTCCTTTAAGTTTTTTCCCATCTCAGCTAATGTAGGGTCTGCTATCTGGGAAACAAATCAAAGGTTAAATTGTAATAATCTTGTACTATTTCTGCAACATAATTCATCGAGAAAAATTAAACTCCAGTCCATTTTCTTCTGGATTCATTATAAAACACATGGATTTATTATAAAGTACATGTTTTAAAGGTTCTCTATTTTCGTTATATTTTTTAAAAAGATTTTTATTTATTTATTTTAGAAGGAGGGAGAGACAGCGCATGCATGTGTGCATACAAATGGGGTGAGGGGCAGAGAGAGAAAGAATCCCAAACAGACTCCACACTGAGCACAGAGCCCAACTCAGGGCTCTATCTCATGACCCTGAGATCATGACTTCAGCTGAAACCAAGAGTCAGACACCTAACCAACTGACCCACCCAGGTACCCCTCAAGTACATCTGATTTTGAAATTCTAAAGTACAAACATGCAATGTAAAAAAAGTCCACCAGTCCCACTCCCCAGGGGAAGCTGCTCAAGATTGACATGTTTCTTTCCAAATTCGCACCTTACTCCTGCATGCCCTACAACTTGCTTTTTTCTACTTTATAGCGAATATGGCTCCATGTCAGTATACATGCACTTCATCTGTAGTGTTAACACCAGATTCCACTCTATGGATGTAACATTATTTACAGACTTCAATGAATGCTAGATTATTCCCATTTTACATTCTTAGAAGCAAGGTTCAGAGAAGTAGGTATGCTATTTGTTTTACTGCTGTAGTAGGCTGAAAAATGGCCTCTCCAAAGATATTCACTTCATAATGCCCTGGAACTTGTGAATGTTACCTTATACAGCAAAGTCTTTGCAGATGTGATTAAAGATCCTGAGATGTAAGATTACTCTGAATTGTGCAGGTGAGCTTTAAACGTAGCCACGTGTATCCAGGTAAGAGAGAAGCAGGAGGAGACTACTCTTGCATGCGCATGCATGCACACATAGACACACAGAAGGCTACATGAGGACAGAGTGGAAAGAGGTCTGGAGGTGGTGCTGGCCTCAAAAATCAGTGATGGGGCCAAGAACTCAGGAATGTGTGTGGACAGGCAATATAAATTGGCATAAGAAAGGAAAGACTCTCTTCTCCTCTGGAACCTCTGCAGGGTGTTTAGCCTGGCCAACACCTCTATTGCAGCTCAGTGATACAGATTTCAAACTTCTAGCCTCCAGAACTGTGGGAAAATCACTTCCATATTTTCAGTTTGTGCTAATTTGTCACAGTCGCCCCAGAAAACTAATACCCTCATAAATCTGGAAGTAAGGGTCGCCTGGGTAGCTCAGTGGTTGAGCATCTGCCTTTGACTCTGGTCATAATCCCAGGTCCTGGGAATGAGTACCGCATTGGGCTTCCTGCAGGGAGCCTGCTTCTCCCTCTGCCTATGTCCCTGCCTCTCTTGGTGTCTCTCATGAATAAATAAATCTTAAAAACAAACAAACAAACCTGGAAGTGATTCCATACACTCTGGAAGCTTACACAGCTGGTCATAGTGACTGACACCAGAGAAGGGAACTGGAAGGATGGGCATCAGATCAAATCTGTTTCAGCTCACATCTTTTTGTTCTTTTCGGATTTTGGTACCAAGTATACTTCTATCTCCCATTCAAAAAAAGAAATGCTTAAAAATCTTACAAAATTCAACACACAAACTCTTTTCCCTTTCTTTCTTATTAACCTCGTTAGCAATCTTAAGGCAGACAATCTGGTCATCCTGAACTTCTTTACGAGTTGGGTTATAAATAGTTATAAAGGCTTTCTTATGTTCCCTTCTAACTCTTCAAGTGTACTTCAGGTGTATTTAATGCTCTTTTTCCTTCAGACTGCTTATTACACCTCATCATAATTATATGGAGTAAGTGTACAATAGGTTATATTACAGTTGGTATTGCAGTATCTCTTCAAAATTGTTTTTTTAAGAGAAGGAGAGGGAGAGAATCTTAAGTAGGCTCCATGACCAACGCAGGGCTTGATCTCACAACCCTGAGATTGTGAGCTGAGCCAAAATCAAGAGTCAGATGCTTGCTGAACTGACAGAGCCACCCAGTTACGCCTCTCCTTAATTTTTTTTTAAAGAAATGCTACTCAGTTTATCAATTTTAATATAGAAAAATGTTAATTCTGGAAGGGACCTTAGGGACTAATCCAGGGATTTTCCACTTGTTGTTCTTCTGAGTCTTAAGACTCCTGGGAAGAACTTTGGGAAAGTACAGTTAGGTAGGCAATTGGGGCTTTTAGCTCTCTGCCCCTCATGAAGGAGAGCAGATCTGTTCTGTAACAGTAAGAGTTTTAACTTTCACTTGTAGAACCAATCATTGAATGGAAGAAGAGTAAGTATAGGACGTAAACCTCCAGCCTACCATTTGAGAACTGAAGAAACTAAGATTCAGAGAGGTAAAGTGACTGGCCTAACGTCACAGAGCTAACAGGTCACATAGCAGTGCCAGAACTCTCTGGCTTCCTGACTCCTGTTTCTGACTTTTCTATTACATCACACTGACTCCCAAAAGGGATTACAAAATAACCATGTAGCCACATCCAATACGATTTACACAAGACAGAAAAATCATTTTAAAACTGGTGTTTCCAATAAAATTCAAAATTTAAATGTAATCATGAGATGGGTTAGTAAGTAATCTCAAATGGTCTCTGTGTTCTCAGCTAATGAGTATGAGCAGAATGAGGAACAGATAATGGACAAAAGAATGTGTCTGAACTCCTCAGTCTACTGGTCATGTTCCTCATTATCCTCATCCCTGTGACCCTCCAGGGTGTTCCCAATCATCTGGCCAAATGAAAAGATAAACACTTCTGCTTGATCAACCACACTTCCACATTTCATGCTTTTAACACTTACCCTGAGATGTCCTTCTGCTGTTTCTTTCTCTAGCTATTAAATCACAATTCAATACTTCCAAGAAAATTTGGTGGATAAAACTACTTCACTCTGTTCTAGTCTCTTTAAAGATATCAATATCGGGACACCTGGGTGGCTCAGTGGTTGAGCATCTGCCTTTGGCCCAGGGTGTGATCCTGGAGTCCCAGGATCGAGTCCCACATAGGGCTCCCTCCATGGAGCCTGCTTCTCCCTCTGCCTATGTCTCTGCCTCTCTGTCTCTCATGAATAAATAAACTCTTCAAAAAAAATTAAAAACTAATTTATTTTAAAAAAAATACCATTATCATTCTTGCTAACCCAAAGAATCTGGACCTGTTGCCTGACAAAAAGGATTGTATTTATGGGGACAATGGAACAGAATACATGAAACTGGGGCCATTCTAATATTCAATTGTCCTTTATCCTTACGATTCTTTACATCCTTTACTGCAAGTTGTTTTAGAGATGATCTTTCCAATATTCTCTCCAATTAGATTATAAGCTTCTTGAAGGCAGTAATTCAGACTCCTACTAATTTTGACTGCTTTTGTAGGACTAGGAGTCTCAAGTCAGCTTGATTCTTGCTTGAGCTGTCATGTTACCTCTGAAACCCCTTAGGAAAGCACAACATAATGGGCATCAACATAGTGACTCTAAGTGCAACACAGCTGACGTTTCCTATAGGACTCAACACACTTTTTCAGCTAAGAGTAGACAAAAACAGTTGACTTAGTTTAGAACTCACTTCTTATGAACAATACTAATTTTTAAACACCAGAATTCATATGTGATGGTGAGATGCTCACACTGTGAAAGGCAGGAGGAAAATGCAGCTTTGTATTCCCCCATTTGAGTCTCTCTACAGAGCACATGCTCATTGAGATGAACGGCTTATATTTAAATTGTTCTGGCTCCTCCTCTCTTTTAGGAAGTGAAGTTGAGGGTGGAGCAGGTGGCACAAAGTGGGTGGCTAGGGAAAATAACATTTATAGTTAACTTCCAGTAAATTAAATGTGAATATGATGGGACTGGCAATGCAACAGACCCTCAAGGGGTTGTGTTAAATGGATAAATCCAAAATACAAAATGTTACCCAGCTGCAGGATACTACTACACTCTATCAAGGAATGCTCTAAGAAAAATGTATATTTGTTAATCAGTTCCCTAAAACTAAAAACCATGCCTCCAGAGGCTTCAAGTGAGGGCAGCCGTGATTATCTTATTCACATTTCATATCCTCCATAACTGTTACAGTGCCAGACAAGGCAGTTGTGTGGTAAATGTTAATAAACAACAGCAGGGTAACAGCCAGATACAAACCTAAATGAGTAAAAGGTTAAGCTTGTATAAAGATCTCTATCTCTATTATTCAGTATTTAGATAGAGATTGTCTCAGGATTTTGAGGGGAAAAAAATACCTGTGCTAGGTTCCTAGGGAATGTCCTATTTTATTTTTTTTAATTTATTTTTTTAAATTTTTATTTATTTATGATAGTCATACAGAGAGAGAGAGAGGCAGAGACACAGGCAGAGGGAGAAGCAGGCTCCACGCACCAGGAGCCCGACGTGGGATTCGATCCCGGGTCCCCAGGATCGCGCCCTGGGCCAAAGGCAGGCGCCAAACCGCTGCGCCACCCAGGGATCCCCTATTTTTTTTTTTTTTAATTCCTTAGCACCAATACAGGGTCTAGCACAGGAAAAGGGCTCAATGAGATTTGTGATCCTTAATAATTACTAACAGTTACCGGATTGCTTACTATATTCCAGCCATTACACTAATACTTTTATATGTATTACTTCCTGACTAACCCAAAGGCAGTTAGTATGCTTTAGGGCCAGAATTTATTTTTTTATTTAAATTCAATTAATTAACATATAGTGTATTATTAGACTCAGAGGTAGAGTTCAGTGATTCATCAGTTGTATATAACACTCAGTGCTCATCATATCCCGTTCCCTCCTTAATGCCCATCACCCAGTTACCCCATCCCTCACCTTCCTCCCTGACTCCATCAACTCTCACTTTGTTTCCTGTGATTAAGATTGTCTTATGGTTTGTCTCCCTGATTTTGTCTTGTTTTATTTTTCTCTCCATTCCTCATGATCCTGTTTTGTTTCTTAAATTCTGC